TCGGTGGGGTGGGGGTCCCTTCCAGCCCGGGGACGCGCCGAACCCTCGGACTCACCAGAGCTTGCTCGATAAGCAGGCAGAACAGGATGGCGTTGCCCACCTCCCGCAGGCTCTGGAACACGTCGGTTTTGAGCTCCGCATACTCGATGATATCCTTCAGCTGGTGGTGGAAGAACTCCAGGATCCCTGGGAGATGAAGGGGGAGGGTCGGTGGGAAGTTCCTGCCAAGCACTGTGTCTGCAGTATCTCATTTACCACTGTTAATAATACCGCCAACGACTATTACCCCCATTTTCAGATGAGGCTCAGAGAGGGTAAGTGGCACGCCCACAGTCACCCAGCTGGGGGGTGGGGGTGGGGGAGAGCAGCAAGAATGAAAACCAGAGCTTTCGACTTTCCTTCTCTGACTCACACTGCCCCAGCCGCTGACATCTTGGTATTTAGGAAAAACAGCTGCTGCCAATCTCCTAATCTCCACCTTTCCCTCCACCCCAGGCCCCTAGTTCAGCCCATGCGCCTTCACTTTAACAGAAGGAAAGTACTATTTCTCTGCCTAGAGCTGAGCGACAAAAACTCCTGTTCCCTGACTCACCTATGAAATGCCACTTTACACCAGACCTGGGCGCTGGCCTCCTCCAACTAGCAAACGGAGGAAGGAAGGGCAGAGGGGCTGAGCTAAGGAAGACCTTTAGGAGCAAACCTCGCCATGCAGGACTTAGACGTCCTCACGTCTGCCGTCCTTTGGCAGCTTCCCAGCAGTGCTGCGAGGCAGGCCTGGCGGGCGTTATTTACTCTCACTGATGGGAGGCGACACTGCTGCTCAGAGGGTTTAAAAATGGTTCAAGGTGCTCTGGCTAGTGGCAGAGGAAGGCGGCAAAGCCAGCGCTCTGCCAGCTCGCTGCCGTGGTAGAGAAGCGGACACCCCGAGGGAGATGGCCAGAACCCCCTCCCGCCGTGAGATGGGTCTGGATTATCTTCCTGTCACCACACCGTCACCAACCTGGGGAGCCGTACTCATGTCGGGGCAGGCGGCATATCTTGGGCATGACTTCAATCAGTGTTTTCACGTACTGGAGGATGGTGCCTTGGAGCTGACAAAAGAGCACAAGAAGTGGGAAATAATCCATCGCCGCTGCATATGCGCCTCTCAGGGCTGAGCTACTAAGGGTGTACGGGCTTCTGTTGAGACCTATGGGTAAATGCTATGGACCGAATGTGTTCCCCTCAAATTCCTGTGGTGAAACCCTAACCCCCAAGGTGATGGTATTTGGAGATGGGGCCTTTGGGAAGTAATTGGGTCATAAGGGTGGTGCCCCCACAATGGGATTAATGCCCTTATACGAAGAGATGAGAAAGATGACGTCCATCTCTGCCATGTGAGGATGCGGTGAGAAGGCAGCTGTCTGTGAGGCAGGAGAAGGGGCTGCACGTGCTGGCACCCTGATCTTGGACTTGCAGCCTCCAGAACTGAGAGCAATACACCTCTGTTGTTTAAGCTGCCCAGTCCATGGTATATTTGTTACCACAGCCCGAGCTGCCTAAGATAGTAAGGCACTGCTCCCGGAGAGGACAGGCAGGCTCTCTCCTAAAGGCGGGGGGCAGCCACATTGCCCTTTATAAGGGAACACGGGCTCTCTCTGAAAGACAGAAAAGGGAGCTGTCTCATTACTCCCTTGGGCTTACAGACTTGAAAGAAGGCAGTTTCTAGGCATGGGGTCCTTCCTGGGGTTGGGGTACTTACACGATACCCAGAATAAGAGCTAAAATGAAATGAGGCCACAGAGTGGTGGAGTCTGAGGCACATTATCTAATTCAAGCATGAAAAATACATGGCACCTCCAACCCTCCTGTGTCCCCAGCAGACGTCTTTAATCAACTACCACATTTTCCTGTGTAACTCTAGATTTAGCTTCACAACGTATAACCACCCCTGGTTCTACACAGCTGCTACGAGAAGGCTAGAGTTAGCAGGTGAATCCTGTTTGCTGTTCCTGACATGGTTATGCATTACTTTATTTCTCTTCTGTCATCTCCAATTTCAAGAAAGTCTTGTTTCAGCCTTGCTGCAGCAGTGTCCTGGGGAATTAGATGAAGGTTCAGGTGACCATTCTTGGGGTGGATACAGAATGGTGGCAAAGGGATACAGAATTCCATCGGGGCCAGTGGAGTGCTGGGAGTAGCAGTCAGCAGGAAACCCCAAGGGGAACGAGCACAGTGATTAGAGATCTCCGCCCGGGGGCCTGGGGGGAGGGACGGCAGCACGTGTGTCATGGATTCATCATGCTCAAATCAGATAATGCAGCATGCGGTGGGGGAGGTGTATGAGCAGTCAGGCCTAGGCCTTAAAGTCAAGATCAAGATTGCTGAGTGCAGTTAGCAAGTAAAAAGAGTGAGCGCAGGGTCAGAAAATGAGAGGCAAAGCCACAGGTCAGAGGGGGACTGAAATGTTACAGGGCGATGGGTGATAGGAATCAAGGGACAAGGGCAGATGATTCCCCGGGTGACTCCTACGGACAGAGATGAAGAGCCTGGGACTTGACTTTCCAGGCCAGGGAAAAAGTGACAGCAGGCCTCATTCGTCTCAACCCCACTGTGCCCATCCCTGGCCTCATCACGGCCCTTCCTTACCAAGCTCTTGACGATCTTCAGCAGTTCCTCCATGACCACAGCGATGCCCTGGTAACCCAGGAGCCTGCAGATGGTCTTGAAGTGAGGGGGGCCCACGAAGTTCCTGTAGGAGCTGTAGATGTGGCTGTAGGCAATGTTCAGAGGCTGGAAAGCACGGAATGTGGTGGAGTCAGTGGTGGAGTACTGAGTGGACACAGTGGTGACTCCTGGAAGGCGATGTTTCACTGATACAAGGGATGGAAACCTGAGGATACTCATGCGCTCTCACTGAGGACCCCTGTGAGTACGTCTTGCAAGGTGCTAATAGAGAGTGGTGGTCAGTGACCACAGCACAGAGCAGAGGTGAGGCAGCGGCTCCCTAACACAAGAGAAGAAAGGGCTTCCAGGCAAATGCCTTCTTGATAGAACTCATGCCACTCACAAACCAGGACTTGCACAAACTGAGCCATGGGGATGGGGTACAACAGATGATTTTCTTTCTCCAGAGGCATCTGCACTACTAGGAACTGGCTGCAAGAACCATGTGAAAACTGAATCGCTGGTCCAGCGTTGCCTTCTCTCTTCCACATCCAGGTGCCTCCATCCATCATGGGTAGGGGAGGGGGTCGTGGGAACCAAGAGGCCTGGGAGGCAGGAGACCTCTGCTGAGGGCATGGGAAAGTCACCTAGCCTCTTTGAGCCTCAGTGTCTTCATCTATGAAATGAGGTGGTTAGATCAAATCAGTGGTTTATGGCTTTTCAAGTAGCCATTAAAAAAAAAAGATGCCATGGAAACAAGTATGTGAAACAGATAAAAGCAGAGCTGCTCTGACTGGGAGCTGGTTGGGAGCCCAGAGCCCTGGTCACTGAAGGGCCACCTCCGTTGTCCTCTGGACCCCATGAGACACCTTTGCTGAATTAGTGAGATCTCTTTAAGATCTTTCTGTCTGAAAATATATGACCAAAATGTAGGGCTCTGATTTGGTCTCCCTTAGCTGGTGAGACTATAAAGTGATGACTGACGTTCTGAGATGCTGCCTTTTACGGAGCACCTCATGCCAGGCTTCATGAAGCCCTTCATTTAATCCAGTGTATGTGATACCTACAATTCCTGGCCCTGTTTCACAGATGGGGAAACTGAGGCTAAGGGTGGTAGTAGCTTGCTCAAGGTCACACAATTCATAGGTAACTGAGCCCTGATCTGAACCTAGGCAGGTGTGATTCCAAAGCCCGTGTCCTTAACCTCTGCCTATAATGATGAACTTTGGAGGGTGAATTCTTACATAAACATACCCATTAAAAAAAACCAAACCTTCACTCCTAACCTGACTCCTAAGTACAGTTTTCCTACCTAGAATTGTAGCAGACCTGTACACAGATCATGCAAATATGGACTGACCACATCTCCTATTCTATTAGCTGACATTCTCTATTAGTTGGCTAATGAGAAATCCTACTGTATTAAATAGGAGCTGTAATGATGCTTTTGGAGTTCTGCAAGAGTCTCGACTCTCTGGAGCCACCGAGGGAAGATTTAATCATTTTCAGTCTGGGTTGTACATTAAGTATGTTTTACTACATATGGATTATTCACAACTTTCCAAAACAGTATCACAATTACACTACCCTCTAGTAATGAGGATATGTGAGGAACACAATTAGAGGTCCCACTAATAACAAGGACGCATGAGGAATGAGGACACCCACTCCCCCCGCAGGTGAATAATGGTTCTCTCGGTAAGATAATGCCTATTTATGGGGAGGCTCGGGGTGTGAGATAGAGCAGCGCTCTGCACTCAAAACTGGTGTGCTGTCATCGTGAAGCTCTGCCTGAGCCTGGGGAGGGGCATCTTTTAGGTAGTTACTAAAGATTTCTAAATGGTGTCGGGGAGGAATGGTTTATGCAGGGATGGAAAACAGAACCGATGAGAAGCATGCTGTTCGCTGGCGCTGACCATCAGCAAATCCTGGAGGATGCGAACTGCTGAGTCTGAGTCAGCTGTGGGCCAGGCCATATGATTTCCTGCGTGTGGCGCAAACCCTCCTAGTGCTTCTGTGACAGGCCACCCTGTCGAGCAGGGCTGGGAGCGGGGAGAGGTGAGTGAGGCACCGGGGCACAGGTGCCAGGGGGCGCTCCCTCTCCCAAGTGCACCCGAGTTCTGGCCCTGTAATCAAAGTCCCGCTCTGGGGTCTGTTTCCTCTCTAGGGATGAGGGGTATAAAACATCAACAAACCATGGCTTACCTCTGCTACGGGAAGGAGAGTGACTAGAAGGGGCACGGGAAAACCTTTGAGATGATGGAAATGCCCTATATGTTGACTGGATTCTCCTCTACACACGCATACATTTGTCAAAACTCACGAAAGCGTATGTACACTTATGACCTGTGCATGCTATGGACTGAATGGTTGTGTCCCTTCAAAATCCGTGTGTTGAAATCCTAAGCCCCATTGTCACGGTATTAGGAGGTGCGACCCTCGGGAGGTAACTAAGTCGTGAGGGTGGGGTCCTCGTCAGTGGGATGAGCGCCCTGCAGGAAGACACACAAGATTGCTCCCTCTCTTCCCCATCACGTGGGATGCAGTGAGAAGAAGGCTGTCTGCAAACCAAGAAGTGGGCTCTCATCAGTCACTGGCTCTGCTGGCACCTTGATCCTGGCCTTCCCAGCCCCTAGAACTGTGAGAAATCAAGGCTATTTAAGCCACTCAGTCTGCGGCATTCTTCTCACAGCAGCCTGAAGCTAAGACAGTAGCTTTTATCGCTTACGATTATACCTCAACACAAAAATAAATTAAAAAGCCCCCTGGGCTGTGTCATAGCCTAATTTAACCCAACACTTGTTTTCAAAGATTCAAAAACGAAAATAAGAATTGAGTTCCCTCCCAAAGAGGGCTGCCGCTCGAGGCCGCACAGGCAGGAGGGCATGATGACCAGGCTCTGTCCCCGGCCCCGAGGGGCACCTCACGGACTCATCCCCCAGACAAGCCACCTCCCCACTCCTCACCCACCCCAGGCACTCAGGGCCTCTCCTCTGAACCCAGCAAAGCTCTGAGCATCTTCAGTCTTTTTTCAAATATCCTATGAAAGGAATTTTTGAGCAACAGGGAGGTTTCAAATGGATATCCCTGGAGGGGACAAAAAGCCACCAGCGAGTTTTTCTTCCCTTTGTGATTCTCTGATTTCGTTTCTGGCTTTGTCTGCGCCCAGAGGTTTTTTTTTTTTCTTTTTTACTGAGGTGGGCACACCTAAGTTCAAATTCCAGTTCCATAAATTTATTAGCTAGCTAATCTTGAGCAAATTACTTAAACTCAGTTAGTGTTGGCTTTCCCTAAGTCAAGATAATAATACCGCTCCAGCAGGGTTGTTGGAGGTTCAAATGAGATAACATACATAAAGCACTTAGCATGGTGCCTGGCACACTGGACATACTCACTGAAACAATAAATAATAAAAAACTCATATTAACTTTGTTTTGGTAATTGGGAAGGTAAAGAATAAGTAACTACAGCTTCCCAGTCAAACTTCCTCCAGCAGCTTTGGCTGCAGTCATGATTCTTTGAATGTGGGGGGGACAGTACACCTGTGGGGTGCAATGTTATATAACACAGTGTATGTCCTACGTGGGGATGTGACAGAGGGCACAGCCGAGATCGGCTGATGGAACACATCAAAAAATGCAGACGGTGCTCAATATTTAGAAGATTATAAAAATGGGAGCTGTCCGACAGCAGACTGCGCTGGGGAGAGACCGAGAAACACGACCAGGTTGTTAGAAGGCCGCGCTGCCTGGGGCAGAGGGCTGGGATAGATGTGCTATGAACTCCCCTCCAAGATACAATTTCCAGGACAGTCCTCCAGACGGGCACCCTTCCTAGCAGTCTTCCTTCTTAACCCTCACTCCCGCCCAGGGAGCTTCTAATACAAGTTTCCCTTAGCATTTCCTGGCAAGCACAAATACAAATATATCTGGGTAGATGGAAACTGTTTAGCAGCCCCTCTCCCCCACCTCCCTAGTTCTAGGCAGTGAAGAGCGATTTTGGAATTGTTTTCTCACACACAAGGGCTTTAAAATACCCCCCTACTCAGTGCACACTGGAGGCCTCTTGTTAGCATTCCTACACCAGTCTTGGAGTCTGGTCTACACCAGACAGACATTCAGGCCTCAGCTGACGGCCCAAGCTCAGGAAGGGCCAGCATGGAAAGAGCAGAATTCAAATCCTCCAAAGTGCGCAAGCGCCCCTCGCTGCCCCCCCCCCACCGCCCCAGAACACAGCCATGCAGGAGGAGTGGCACACACATGCTGGCAGGGACATGCACGCACACCCCCGCAGGGCACCCGTCTGACCTGCTGGCTCAGTAGGAGGCTGGGCCCTATTGAGAAAATGTGGGAATATGGGAGCCGGGGTATTTTCTGAGGTTTGGCAAAGAAAAACAGGAATGCGACATGACTTGAGACACTGGAAGCTTGCTACAAATCTCCCACACTGAACTGACTCTGCTTATGATCAACGCCTGCCCTTAGGAACTAATTATGTACCCTGTTTGGGACACCTCACTTAAAATCAAGCTTGGTGAAACCCATCCTGCACAAAACAGATACCTTTATGAGATCTCAAGAAATGATTCTCATTCAGAAACCTGGAGCCATATTATTAATTTGTGACATAGATACAGATACACATTTTTTTTTTTTAAAAAAAAGGTAAAACTGTTTTAAGTGGAGAAAAGTTGAACTTGATCTTTCAGATCCTGGGCACTATAATATTAACTGTAAATTGACTTTTTAAAAAAATTGTGGTTAAAATACACATTCACCCATAGGTGCTACCATTTTAACCATTTTAAAGTGTTGTAAATGGACTTTTAGTCATAAGGCCTCCGTCTCTCACCAGACGGTAAACAAGACCAGCCACTCCAAACACGGAGGTCCATTTATTTGGCAGGCTGAATTTGCAAGCAATTTGCATCTCTCCTTTCTGGAATCACCATTGCTGGTTTCAGAGATCCCAAGAGGAATTAAAACTGTTTCTCATTTCCTGTTTTAGACAATTTCTCTAATGTTCCTCGAGCAACTAGAATACCGTCGGCCCACCAACACAAACATAGCTCTCTAATTCGGAGAGGGAGAGAACTGGGGCTCCAACTCTAAAACCACTGCAGGTAAACGAAGACGCGGGTAAATGAATAAAACAGCAACATCGTCCTTGTCGGGAAGTCCACAGAGCAAGGTGGTGTAAAGAACTGATAAACCCTGGGTTACGGGTTCAACCTGCTGCTACGTGTGGGTAAAACTGATGATGCGCAATCTGTCCCCTCCTGATGTCTGGTGAGCTCTAGGGCGGGGTCCCCAACCTCGGGGTTCCTTCTTGGGCTTCTCAGCTCAGAGGCTGAAAGATCCAGGGGAGATGCAGTAGAGACCTCAAGAAACGATGTGCCCCACTTTTTTGTCTCGTGAGTAAAGTCCTTCGGAGAAGGCAAGAGGGAGAGCAGGGACCCAGCCCTCCTGTTCAGAGAGACGCTATCAACACTGCAATACCTAGAGATGCTAGAATTTTTGTCACTTTTTAAATAATCTGCACCCATCTGATGACACAAGTGTATCACACTTCTCTGTTGACGAATGTTTCTCATAACAATTCCTTCGTAATTGCTTAGCTGTATTTGTTTCCTTGTGGCCGTTGTCACAAATGACCACAAACCTGGTGGCTTAAAACAACAGAAATTTACTCTCCTGGTTCTGGAGACCATCATCCACAATCAGTATCACTGGGCTGAAATCAGAGTCAGCGTGGCCACACTCCCTCCAGAGGCTCCAGGCAAGAATCTGTCCCTTGCCTCTTCCAGCTCGGGTGGCTGCCAGCGTTCCCTGGGCTGTGGCTGCGTCTCTGCACCCTCACGTCCTCCTGCTGAGATCTGGCCTCGTCTGTGTCTGTGTAGCCCTCCGCTGCCTCCCTCTTATAGGGACACCTGTGATGGCACTGGGGACCCATCCTGATAAACCAGGACAATCTCCCATCTCAGGATCCTTCACTTACTCGCATCTGCAAAGCCCTTTTCCGAACAAACACATTTCCAGGTTCCAGGATTAGGGCCTGCTACCTCTAGGGGCCAGAAACTGCCTCCTCCAGCGGGTGAGGCAGGTACAATCACCCCCATTTACCACGGGAGAAACCTAAAGCCCGGGTGAGGTGAGGTGAAGGGACTCGCCCTTAGTGAAATATACCGACCTTCTGCCATAGCCACCAAACGCCAAATTAGCAAAATTCTTCTGGACATTGTGGAGCCTTGGAGTGTGCCACACGGATACAAGAGGGAGGGTGGTGGTGGCAGGAAGTCAGCTGGTGCCCGAGGCAGAGCCCCTGCTCAGGCCACATGTGGGCCCGGCTGAGAGGTGCCCACCTGGCTGCAGCAAAGCACTGGGTCCTGGGCCCCAAGGACCAGGGACTTAATGGGAGAGGCACCGCGAGAGAGAAGATGACGAATTTCCCCTGAGGTCAAACAAGGCTCACCCCGGGCATCATCTAGCTACTGGCAACCCCTCCAAGCCAAAGATCACACCAACAATCTCTAAAGGCCAAAACGTCACTGGGAAGTGACTGGTGTAACTTCAGGGATTTGTGCCACAATCTGTATCACTTAGACGGCAGTTTTATGACAGACTGTCTGTAACTTACCTACAGAATCATACTTTTAAAGTTTAGACTCATGTACTAATGTTGGTTACTGAAGCAGCTGCAAAAGTTGGCATTTAGTATCATCCCTAACCCCGAGTGACAGAGCTCCTGGGCAGGAGTTCTTGGCCTCCAGACTCCGGAAGAGGAAACATTTATTCGCTGACCAGTTTCCTCCAAATGTATTTGACGTTCCCTCCGGTCCTGTCGGTGATCATCGGGTGGCTGGCTGTCCCCTCTGAGGTCTTTCAGTTTCTTGCCTGTTCCCATCACTTCAGAATCCACCAAACTGCATATTCCTGTCTCTATCCCTCAGTAGAAGTTAAGCAGGAGGCACAGAGCTACTGGTGACCGCCGTTTGGGGAAGAACCAGCAGAGCAGAGTGCATCAGGGAAGTCAGCTGAGCTCCTGGACTCCGGGCCCCCAGGCCTCAGCGCAGGGCGCCACTCTGCCACAGCCTCGCTTTGTGATTTGGGTCAAGTCAGTTAATCCCTCGGGGCCTCCGTGTCTCCCTTGGTACACGGTGATAAGAGGGCCTACGCCAGAGTTCCCCGTGGGTGAAACGCGAAAACACACATAAAAGGCATCAAAATGCTCTCATTGGTATTTCTGAGTTGTAGGAGCTTGAATGCTGTCTTTGAACTTTTTGATTTTCTTTATGTACAAAGAGCATGTATGTTTTAAAAAATAAAGTGATTTGAAGGGGGAAAAAGGGAAGGAAGCGTTGTGCAGGGTGCAGACCTTGTCCATCACAGCCTCTGGATGAAGCTACAACCAACTCAGAAAATGGCTCCGAGGAAACGGCCCACCGACCTTTTCTTCTTAATAATGACAGCTGCTGTCTCTAAGCCCAGCTCTGCAGCGGTGGGCTCATCTCACTGCTACAAGGATGCCAGCGGGCGGGTATTACTCACAGCTGCCTTTTCCAGAAGTTAACCAAGGCCTAGGAAGGTGAGAAAATTTGTCCAAGGCCCTGGAGGCAGGATTTGAACCCAGACTGGGGACTTCGGGGCCTGGATGCCAATCAGCTTTGGGACCGAGGTATGCCCTCACACTGTCCCTTCACTGCCACCTTGAGGGAGGGTGTGGGGACCCCCAGTCTTGGCTGGTTTCCTGTGGCAGGGATTTACTTCCCGTGTAAACCATCCAGAGGCCGCCTGGCCTGACAGCCACAATTTGGATGCCCTGCAGGGTCCTCCCCGAAGGTGGAGAGAGTGAGCTTGGCTTGGATGTGATGTCCTGGGGCAAGTGTCCCCAGAGGTTCCATCCCAGCCACAGAGCTGCATGGGCTCCTCTGGGTGCTGCTGGTGAATGGTGACGGCCCTGGACTGGAGTCAGGGAGCCGGATTCCCCTCCTGGCTCTGCCACCCATCAGTCACCCGGCCTGAAGAAAGCTGTCCCTTCTCTTGGGATCTGTGAAGCAAGAGGAATTCACACTCTCCCAGTGTCTCAACTTCTCACGTAAAAAGTTCAATGTTAAAAGCAGCATCCAGGAACATTAAAAATAAATTTCTGTTCTTGGTGGCAAAGGCTTGAGTTCCGTCTCATGACTCCACAGGCCCCCTAACGCTGATATTTTTATTCCCCTCAAAATAACTTTTGCAAAAGGCATCTGCAAACGACCACACTGGCCTCTCTGTGGAGAGGACGCTTTTATGCTCGGCAGGGAGTCACCATTAGCACGCAAGACAGCAGGTTTTCGACAGACCCCTGGGAAGACAGAAGGCCACCAGAAGCACAGAGCAAGTGTCTAATTGGGGGACAGCAGGCACCCTGAGCTTCCACGCCTCACAGAGACCCTTGGCCTGGGGAGGCTCTGTGATCCACCAGCAGCTCTTTATAACTTTCTGATTATCACTGATGTAAATCAAAAGGAAACCTTCATGGGTTCACTTGGATACTTTGGCCAAGAACCGAGAAGAAAAAAGATGATTTTTAAAAACACCTAATTTGTGTTTTATTATTGTGTTATAGAATCCGGGTCTAAATCCGCCTGAGCAAGGGCTGCTGTAACAAATCACCACAAGCTTAGTGGCGTAAGAGGACAGAACTGCATTCCCTATTTCAGACGTGCTCTGTGATGTCCCCTCAACAGAATGGTGGTAACACATTCTTTCAAGGTTGAGGGGAACAGGAAGGGCTGGATTCTCAGAGGCAGACATCCCTTTGTTGAAAGTGCAAAAGGGCGAGGAAGAAAGTCAGGACTCTGGAAGGAAAAGGAACTTTGGGGATCATTCAGTCCCCGAAGAGTAAAGCTTCCGTTTCTTTCAACTCCAGTTGGCTGACAGGGAGGCGGCATCTTGGGATGCTGTGTCTAGAAGGATTTCTGGGGCTGAGTTTCTGAGTCCAACTGGAAGGAGTTCTGTATCATTTTCCTAGGGTTGCCAGAACAAACTACACAAACATGCTGGCTTCAAACACTAGAAATCCAATCTCTCACAGTTCTGGAAGCCAGAAGCCTGAAACCGAGGTGCCGGCAGGGCTACGCTCCCTCCCAAGGCCACAAGGGCGGATCCTTGCATCTCCCAGCTCCTGCTGGCTCCTGGCAGTCCTTGGCTTACAGCAGCACCACTCCAACCTCTGCCTCTGTCCTCGCATGGCTTCCACCCTCTGTATCTCTTGTCTTGGTGTATAAATCTCCTCTTCCTTCTTCTTATTAAGACACTGAATTCAGGGCTCCCCCTCAATCCAGGATGACATCATTTCGAGATCCTGAACAAATTAAATCCACAAAGATCCGACTTTGAATGATGGTTGCATTCTGAGGTTCTGGGTGGGCTGAGGGAGGGACACTCAAACCAAATGAGTACAAATGTCATGACGGTTTAGCCAGCCTCACGTGGGTTCTGGACTGGGCAGGGCTAGTGCTCATGTCTTCCATCTGCCATCCTGATCTAGCCAAAACCATTAGCTTTACAGCGGACGGAACGGAGGCCCAGAGAATAAAAGCGCCTTCACCAGCGTCATACAACCAGGTAAAGCCTCAGGAGAAAAGAATGAAGAAGGAAGAGGAGACAGAGGTGGGGTAGGAAGAGGGGCGTGGGGTGGGAGGGGATGAGGATGCAATGACTGTTTTACCTGTGAGAGAACAGAGAAGGGCACCTTTGCACTTGAAACCACTGTCCAAAGATGGTCTAGATAGGGCAAAAAGGATAACTAGTCTATTAGTGAGGCAGGTTGGGAGACTTTGAAGAATTAGTACCATTCTGAGGATCAATGTGCAGTGGATTGTTTGCCTTTCTTTGGCCAAAGGAGTGAGAGCTCCTCTCACTGGGCAAAAGCTCTTCCAGGCTGGTCCCTGAAACACCGTGCGTACAGATGCCTGCTGGTTGCCATGGTGAATGATGCTGATCTGAAGAAATGAATAACGTGAGCGCTGGGGGCGACAGTGGGATTACTCAGACAGTGGTGAGAGAGACACCAAGGAGAGCCCAGAGCAGAGGAGGGGAGAAGGCACCATTCCTTCAGCTGTGGACCACTCTGCCTCTGAGGGCTGCGTTCTAACCGGATCCACTGCGAGCATCAGGTAAGAGACATAAATGGCTCTTCTTGGAAATGGAAATGGCTTTTCCTTTCACACTCTGCTTGGAGGAGGGCCAAGCAATATGGATAGCTAAAAATGGGGGGGCAGGGTGGGGGGGGAGAAGTGGATTTAGGAACGGAAGCAGAGGAAGAAAAATAAATAAGGGGAAACATTTGGTCCTAAAAGCTGCAGACGCTGCGTCTTGACAGAAAGCTCTTTAAAATGTCTGCTGTGGAAAACTCAGTCTGCAAAGACAGCCGGCAAAGATGTGAGGCAAACAGAAGAGATTCATGACAAGAAACGGGATTCCTGATCACTCCTGTTGGAAGGGTTTACGAGGGCTGTTGCCTCTGTATCTTAAGTAATGAACTGAGTGCTTTTCATTGCAGTTGGATGCTTATTTACAGGGATGTGTAGGGTGCTGGGGTGGGATGGACAGGTGCCTACAAGAAGGAGACCGATGGAGAAAGCCCAAATATTCACTCCCCTCTGCAGTGACCCTCCCTGGAGGGATCTGAACGCACTTAACCTCATTCCTTTGATCCCCTATTTTTCTGGGAAAAAAACTTCCAGGCTAACGGAAAGGAATGCTTCCCCTTCCCGAGCATTTTAGTTCACTGTCATCCTAAGAGAAGAAAAACAAGGACTGAAAAACCACTCAGTGCTGTGCACCTCCCTGAAGCTCACCTCCTCGGGGAACATGGGCACCAAGGTCAGAGGGAGGAGAAGGGAGAGAAAGCAGCTCGTAACAGAAGTCAGTTCGGCTTAATATACAATTCAGGTTCAAATCAGATCAACTGTTCTTTTACTATGTCATTGCAATCCAAAATGAAACCTTCTGTGTTTCACGCGAGAGAAGAAGAGCAGAGAACAGAGCTGGGGGAGGGCTATATGTGAACACACAAAGGTTGAGTATGTCTGGCCCTGAATTTCAGATCAGGGGAAGTTCAGAGGAGAGGAACCATCTCTCTCAAACAGATAGAATTAGAGAGAAACTATAAAGCTTGAAGATGGCGCCCTCCTATCAAAGGGAGAGGGCTCATGTGATTTGTCGGGAAAAACAGCAACCCAGTCTGAGTGCCGGCACCTCATTTTGCAATAACGCTCTGTTACTGAACGCAGCAGCCTTGCATGTGGCCATCCAGTGGTTCCGGGGCTTTGGGTCTTGTACTTGTTCGCTGACTGCTCCTCTCAGATTGCTCCTCTGTAAAATGGGAATCTAGCTCTGAGGCTGTGATGAACAAAGCCTATTTATTATTGTACGTGAGCTTCCAGCGCAACCTGTGACAGCAACAGCTCGCTAACTGCTGGCGGTTATTACCGTGGTGAACGTTCACGGTGCCAGAGGTATCAGGCAGAAGCAGTTATGCTGGTGTTCGGAGCTGATTAGCTGGACCTATGAAATTACCGTCTTAGGTAATTTCAGCTTTGAAAGAAGCAAACAGATGGACAAAACAGGAGCAGAGGCTTTGGGGAGAAATCAGCTGACACTGAGTGACACAAATCTCCTCTCACCATGGGCGACAGAACAGGCAGGCTAAAAACAGTGGCCGGAATGTTCTAGATGAATGAGCTCGCAGCACCTGGGGCAGAAACGGGGTCCAGAGGGAAATTCGAGGTGAAATAATTGGCTGACTTGGAAGTCACAGACCCTTGGGGACTATCGTTGAGACTCTGAGGTTCTGCTGATTTCTCCTTTCATTGCCTTTTTCCCCCTTCTTCTTTTTTTTTTTTTTTAATGTTTGGGGGCAATGTTGTATTTAAAGATTCTTTAAAGGCTGGGGGATGCAGGTGCATCTCTTTTTTTTTTTAGGCCTGAAGGCCCCCCGGCTTTGGCATGAGACAGCCCTGACTTGAACTATGGTTCTGCCATTTCTGAGCTGTTCCTCGGCAGAGTATCATCACCTCTCAGCCTCCATTTCTCCGTCTGCAAAATGGGGGCGATATTAGTCCGCAACTCGAATGCTCAATGAATGGTGGCTATGAGTATCAGAAACACATCCTTATGCTGGGGGGTGTCACTCTTCCCTTTGATTCTGGTTTCAGAATCGAGATGAACATCGAGGTTGGGAACGTTTCTTACACGGGAGCCATCATTTCCTGGTCGTCCTCGGAGCCCTGCCTGGAGGACTATTACCATATTATGTACAGGCCCAATTGGAACAGCATCTTCTCTGGCTATCTTCGCTACAGCTTCCACCACGAGGAGAAGGTGCCTCGAACAATCAGCTCTGTGGTGCTGGAACACCTCACCCCTTCCACTCTCTACTTCCTGTGCATCAGCTGCAAGAAGATTCTCTTCCCTTACAGACACTACTGCACCATGTTCCACACCCTGGATAAGAGTCCGCTGGCTGCTGGAAGCTCCCTGGTGGACCCCCAAATCTCCCTTTGGGTGCTGATGGCCATCCTGCTGGCCTGCTTCACGGCCGTCTTAGCCTTCATCTGCCTCCAGTTCTGGTGCATCCGCTGCCACGAGCCTCGATGGTCTTACAGAGCCGGCCACATGGAGGAAGCCAACGGGCTGGTGAGATGGCCAGAGGAAGCCCCCGCTCTGGGTCAGGGGGAGGAAGACCTGCAGGGGCTCCCCCTGGTGGAACTGCCGCGCAAGAACTCCGGAGCCGAGGCAGAACCCGAAGCCGCAGCCGCCGCCGCCCCCGAAGCCGACCAGGATGCCCCCGACCTGGATGCCTTGCAAAGAGAGAAGGGTGACCATCCCGTGGTAGTGCCTCATTTCGGGGAGTGAGAGGTCGGGAGGAGGCAGCCCGCGTTACGTAGCTTAAAGCCCTCCAGGCAGTAGGTCTTCTGTAAAAAAAGCACCTGTAGACTCCCCATGTGTCTCCCCTCAAACGTCAGTGCCCTTGCAGTCATCTGGTTGGACAAATGCCCTTTGACAGAGCTTCTCGAGCACACACCGCCCGGGTGTGCCAAGAGAGGAACACGGTATCTCTGAGGAGTGCCCATTTTGGGGGAGGGGGCTCAGTGAGGAATTAAAGGCATTATTTAAACATTAAAACAACCATAAACCCATTATGGCGTAGAAAGTAGAAGCTGCATGACTTAAAGAAAAGCCAACACTTCAGGGGAATTTCTGAGTTGAAGATGGACCCTAGCTGAGAAAAATACCTGGTCTCCTCTGTTGCTGGGTGCGTGGGTGGGGGTTATTTTGGAAGGATGTGAGAAGTCTTGCTCCAGAGTGTTTTCCAACTTTTAGCCAATCCCACATCACCTTGTACCTCATCTCCACTTTTTTTTTAATCTCATAGACTACCTTTACTATCATTAAGAACACATTTGCTTTAAATTAACTCACTTTTTAAACTTGTATTAATAGCCATACGTTACTCCCCAAATGAAAAACCAACATCCTCCTGCTATCAATAGAAGGGAAGAGACATAATAAATAGAAAAAGACAAAATAATATTAAATTTGACTTAGATACTATCGCCTACTAAAGGCACTGAGCTTAGGGCCTGCTCTCTTATCTTGGATGAAAAAGGGAGATTAGTAGTCGTTGGAGAGGTATTAAAGATATGTGCACTAATATTAAGACTTTCTCCTTGATAAAATCAGCTAGGTTTGAAAGAGAATTGAAAAGGGAGTCACTCTGTGAGCCCCTGTTAATGAACGCCACGCCTGTGAACTATCTAAAATGCTGTCTGTAAGGGTCCCCTGATTTGAGAGAGTTGTTTTGACTGGACTGGCTGCTCTGAAGAAGACACCTACACTCTTGCAGCATCATCGGAAGACTTCCTAAGGCCCACCCTCAGGCCCGAGGGGTGGGCACTCACCTTGGGTCCTCACACTTCCCATCCAGGGCTCCCTGCCCTGGAGGAGCACCTCTTCTGACAAGGTACTATTTAGCCAGTCATCTTCTCTTCTAAGTCCATCTGTGCTTTGTGAAAATGGGGTCAAGGTGGCCATTTTTCGTCCATCACACACAGAAAACCATTTTGGCTTTTTTGCTGCTGTGGCTGAGATACTGCACCCTTTCAGCGTCCTTCTCCCACGCAAACCCGCAAGGTAGGAAACAAATCTCCTATATGTGTCAAAGTGTTGGGAGACTCTGTGAACCGTGCTCCCCTGTGCCCACCATGGGTGTGGAACTGGAGCCCGAGGAGGGCGGAGATGAGTCTGATTCAACCTCTGCTATATCCCCAGCATGGACAGTCTGCCCAGCGTCTGGCTGCACTGGGGGCTTAAGGAATGTCTGCTTAACAAATGGCAAAGGACAGAAGGTCTAGAAAGGCACCATGTGGAGGCTTAGTTAGTGTCAGGACCTGCATTGGGAAAGAAGCAGCAAAGAGACAGGAGAAGACCTGTTTCTCAGCTCTCGCTCTGGCCACCTGGGACTTCCTTCAAAGCCCCACCTTCCCAACTGCTTCCTGCCTGCAAATCCCCCATAGTTACAGAGCACAAAATCCCAGAACCACAGGACGACACCGCAGTGAACTGACTGAGAACAGGAGGAGACCGGCCGCCAAGACGAGAAGCCCCACACGCCTACTTCCCCGCTCGCCTCCGTGAAGTCCTCCCCAAACGCTCCTGCCCGGAATCCAGCCCCGCCAGGTCTGTGCTCACCCCCGCCCTTGCTGGTCGTGAACAAATAAAGATGAATATATTCTCAGTTGTTTCCGCCTGGATCTCACTGCTGCCTCTTTATCTCACACGTCTTGCTTTCCTGATTTGGGGAACACTTTTCTATTTGCTTTAGCTCATTCACCCTCTTCTAAGTAGAACACAGGCAAGGCCACTTACCTTGGACCCGTAGAGGTAATAAGGCTGGACGTTGGCCGGTTTATCTCTTTGCGGTTCTTGGGTGAAAGGAATGGCAGTTCGGACAAAACTAGTAGAAGAAAAGAGATGGGGTGGGGGTTAACTGGGTCCTAATATTATTCTTCAAGGCACATGATATAGCAGGAGGCCTTCCTGACCAGGTGCAACCACCCTGCTTCTTAGGCAGTTGCCTATACACGTACTAAGCTCTTCAGACAGACTCCCCTTTGATGCCTGTCTCTGCCACGGATGGAAACACTGAAGCCCAGGCTCATGGATTCGACTCTGGGCTTGTTACTCAGGACAGAGGTCAAGAAAGTTGAGAACTGGCTGAGCCTGAAAACAGCCTTCTTCGGGGCTCCGACCCTCCAGCCTCACTTTGGTTTCCTCAAGAGCAAGATTCTGCAGACTTTCTGTAGAGACCCAGATAGCAAACATGTGCAGCTTTGCAAGCCAGATGGTCCCTGTCACAAGTACTTAACTCTGTCGCAGCATGAAAACACCCATAAACAACCGGAAACAAGCATGCACGGAGGGCAGCGTTCCCAGAAAGCTTTATGAATTTCAGATAATTTCCACTTGTCATCAAATTATAATTCTTTGCATTTTCCCCCCCAACTATTTAAAAATATCAATTCCATTCTCAGCTCATGAGCTGATCAAAAACAGTTGGCGACTAGATGTGGCTTGTGGGTCGAAGTTTGCAGATCTCTGCCCAAGAGGATTAAAAGTCCCAAATTGTTACAGAAACGGAAGTCCGTCTTGCTAAATGTGAGAATTCCTCCCAGGCCCTTCCAGGCATTCAGCACATACTTAATTAATGCTGGCTGGCCGTGAGCCAGGCCCTGGCAATACTGCGAGGGCCTAGTCTGGAGTGGGCAGCTGTCTGCTCCCGCACCCCTCTCACTCCCACCCAAAGTGGCTTTGCACAGAGACTCCCTCACCGGTTGGTGGACCCATTGTAGCAGTAGTTAGGGAGGAAGTCGAAGTTCAGCTCCCAGAAGACGTGCAGGGTGATGCGGCCGTAGGGGGCAGACACGTTGTGATTGGCCTCCCGGAACATGGCATCGAAGCTGTCCAGGGTCATGTGCTTACATAGCAGCCGGTGAGTGAGCCGGTTGATCTCCAGCAGCCACTCCAGCTCCTGTAGAGACAGAGGGCCCGTGGTTGCTGAGGACTAACACATACACCTTGCACGTGGGCACTGCTACCTGACAGGTTCCTTTCACACAAGGCAGAGCCCCTCAGACAACCTCCTAGGTGCCAACGGAGAGCCTAGGACCCTTGCAGCAGTATGGAACCCATTCCCTCTTCTGAGCAGTGAAGGAAGTGCTGGACCAGGTCGAGGGAGGCTGCATGCCCGTCCCCAGAAAGGGGACCCCAGACCATGTGCAAATCTCCCGTCTGCACCTCCTTGGTTTCCAGTTTCCATATTGCTAACTCACACGCCTCAGAGTTGCAAGTAAAGTAAACGGAAGCTGAGACTGGCCATCCATGATCCAGGGCTCCGTCTCCATCCTGCAGAAAGCAATCATTAGAGCTACCACCTACCAGGTACTTACAGTTAGGTTGGACCATATGAAACGACTGGTTTTTTAGGTCAAACACCATCCAGTGTTAGTAATTGCTTACGGCTCAATCTAATATGTGCCTGGCAGTATTCTAATTACTTTACACGTGCTCACTCACTTCGTGCTCAAAACCCCCACAAGGTCAGCATGACAGCTGTTCTTACTATATACGTACAGAAACTAGGCTCTAAGAAGCGAAGTAACCTGGCTTCAAATCCAGGAAGTTGGGCTCTGAAGCTCATAGTCTTACCGCTGTACACTATAGGAATGCAAAAACCAGCTGGGGGAAGAATGCTCCCTCCTTTGGACTCCTCCCGTGTCCCTCAGTCACACAGGGGTTGGATACACGTGTTGGCAAAGGTTTGGCTGAAAGCCATGGAGCAAGGACGTGCATGAGCTGTGGACCCTGGCCATTCAGGCAGAGAACAGGAGCAGAGTGGATAATATCCAGGCACAGCAGGTCACTGCACTTGCTGGGAAGTGCAAAAAGAGTGAAACCCTCTGGGCTGGCTTTCGTTTCTTACTGCATTTCTATCAAACAGAATCAAAGCACAGTCCTGTGCAGGGAGAAAAGGCCTCCCTCTTTCTGATGCTCTTGGGCACTCCTGTATTGCTGTGGTCTTTTGAGATGGGTACGACTGTCCCTGTTTCACAGAGGGGAAAACTGAGGCTCAGAGAGTGAAGTGACTCGCCCAAGGGCACAGAGGGGATACAGAACAGGGCTTAGGAAATGATCCCAGGTCATCTAATTCCAAGTCACATGTGTTTGGCCCCTGTGACACAGCTGCCTGGAATAAAGAAGCAACTGCTGAGAAAGCCCTTTGAAAAGTAAGACAGTGTTACAACATGACAGCGAAAAGAACTTTGGCGAGGGCAGCTCCCTAGAGCGTGGTCAGGAGGTGGGATGGTCAGAGGGCTAGCTTTAACAGCTGGGACTTGGAGCTCAGTCGTCTGCAGTCATGGGAGGCAGCCTTATACCAGGGATTCAGATTTATTCTCATAGGCCACAAGCCCCCTCAACCCTGGTTGGGGTCCCGAGTGTGGTAGATTCAGACCACACTTCCCATCCCAGAGCTTCTTCTCTCTGAAATTCAGACCCTGTGGCTCTAAATCAGGGGCACAGAACTGAATCAAAGTTTGCAGACTTAACTGGCTGCAGGTAAGTGAGACACGCTACGGGGGGAGGGAGTCCTGGGCTGGGCTGTCCGTGGCGGACTGGAGAGTCCCTGCCAGATAAAGGCAGAGCTGCTGCTCCACGCCACTGTTTGCCACCATGTGGGAACAGGGCTTAGAGATGGCAGATCCTGCAATCTTTCAAAAGAAGGCCAAAGTCTGGATTTCAATTCTGGAATGGTAGCTAGAAGAGTAAGTTTCCAGTTATTGTGCACCACGAAGTAAATGAAGGAGGGAAACACAGTATCAGCTGCCTGCTTCTGTCTCTTGGGGCTTTTTTAGTTGGACTGCATCTTTGTTCCCATTCACTTAGGATGGGTAAAAAAGTAAATAAAAAATAAATGCAATAAATACACACGAGTTTATTTCCAAACTCACTGAGTCTCATGGCACACGGAGGTGCCGGGTGACCATGAAGAAAGCTGCAGATGAGAAACTGGGGCACTACTGCTGTTCTCACGTTCTGTGATTTTCACAGTCTCACAAATGCGCACCAGTGTTTATGAGGGAGCCTTGGGGAGGGGGGTTCTCAACTCTGCCGATGTGGAGGCTGCTGGAAATGCAGGTCCACTTTTTCGGCCACGCAACAGTACAGGGGTCTTTATTAGGCAATGCAAATTGTGTTTTTGCATCAACTGTGTTCTTCTCGCCTTTAAATCAGGAGAGGGCACTTGTCTGAGGGACGCGGGGCTCAGTGCATCAAGGCACAGAGATTTAAAAGACCACAGAGGCGTTCCAAGAGGATGCTAGCTCTCTACAGTGAAGCCAGTTTACTGACGGGCAACCCAGAGAAGCAGAACTGAGTGACTACAACACCCAAATGGGCAACTTGTAAGTAGTGGAAAGAGCTCTTTCCTGGGAACCAGAAAACCTGAGAGTCAGCTGCACTCGGCAGTTACCCAGCTCTGTGGCCCAGGCAGGCCAGAAGAATAGGGGTCTCAAACTCAGACACAGCGGGGCCTGGCAGGGCATCGCATGAATGAAGTGCGCCACGGGGGCTGCGGCAAACCCAAGGGAGCACAGCCCCGCCAGTGGGACCATCTAACCATTTCTAGGCAACTGTTGCCATGTCGGAAGGCTGGCTGGATGTTGCCAGAGCTTCCGCAGTTTTATTCGAATACTTCCCCATGTTAAATGTTGGCTCAAAATTTCAAATACGCCATGCAGCCTAAACAAAACACAGTCTGCGGGCTGCCAGCTCTCAGTTTCAGCATCAGAGTCCTCCAAAAATCTATTTGCTTAGCTGCGTAGGAGGAGGATGACTGATGGAAGAAATCTCTGCAACCCTGCCTCCTGGGCGTCAAGCCCCTCCCAACCCCCCCCCCATCTCGGAATGGAGCCTCTAAGGTGGAGGGAAGGGCCGAGGAATGTGCGCCGCACATTCCTTGCTTTGTTTCTCAGGAGAGGCAGAAGTTCTCAGCCAAGGCGGCAGGGCCCGCTGACCCCAAAGGAGAGAGCCTCGTGGGCCCCGAGGGCTCTGTGGGCAGTGGCTACTCTCCTGCGGACCGTTCCCCTCACCTGGCAGACCCAGGCTTTCACTGCCTGTTTGGGTTTGTTCCCAGCTAAAAGAACATTCAGTGCCTTTCAAACGGTGGGAAGAGGCCACCAACACCCACACATGCTCCGAAACCAGTTTTTCCACAAGGAATGCTCATTGCATTCACTACTAGAAGAAAACTAGATGGTAACAGACAAACAAAGAAGATAAAAAACCAAAAACCCCACCTCCTGGACATAATCACTGCTAACACTTGGCATAAACAAAGACAAACATTTCTTAAAGTCGGTCTCCCAGAGGCACTTGCGCTGTATCATAGTCTCTTAAAGTCAGTGATCCAGGACTGAGGTGGGCAGCTGGGTCAAGTCCTCTTAGGAAATGCTGCTGAAAATCCACCCTGAGAGGGTTTCATTTGCAGGTGAAAATGTCTATGTCCCTCTCTTTTTTTCATCAGCTATTTTCCATTAAGTGCAAGGAACTATGCAAAGCTCTTTCCAGACAGTGCCTCATTTCATCCTTCCAACAATGCTACGAGGGGAAGTCTAGTATTTCCTCGATGGTACTACAGACCTGTAGTACAAGGTAAGTAACTCTCCCAACGTTACCCAGCTAGTAAACAGCAGGGCCGGGACCGGGATCCCAAGGTCCTTCTGACTCTAGTTAGTCGCCTTTTTTTTAAATCACTTTGTCGGTTAAAAAAAAAAACTTATTATTTTGAAATAATTTTAGACTTAACAGAAAAGTTGTGAAAACTGCAGAGTTCCTGCATCTTCCTGACCCAGTTTCTTCAAATGTTAACATCTTACATACTCATAGTACAATTATCTAAAGAAGGAAATTAACATTGGTACAAGTCTATGAACTAAAATGACAGACCCTTTGCAGATTTCATCAGTTCTTCATGAAGGTCTTTTTTTTTCTCTAAGATTCAATCCAGAATCCCACATTGCACTGAGCTGTCACCACGTCTCCTTAGTCTTTCCAATCTCTTAACAGTTTTTAGTATCTGTCTTTTATGTTCTGGATTCTTTTGAACAGCACTGCTCGTTTTTGAATGCCATTCGATTTGAGTTTCTCTGATATTTTCTCATGATTTGATTGAGACTATGCATTTTGGCAAGAATACCAGAGAAGAATAAGTATCAGGGGATGCACGAGTGGATCTTATTACTGGTGATATTAACCTTCCATGCTTGGTTAAGATGGTGTCTGCTAGGTTTCCCCTTGTAAAGTTATTATTCTTCCCCTTGGAATTAATAAATATCTTGAAAAAGACAGTTTGAGAGTATGCAAGTATCCTGCTTCTTCCCAAAGTTTTTTTAAAACAAATTTGTGAATAATTTTAAAATTTTGGTAAAATATACATAATATCAAATTTACCATTTGAACCATTTCTAAATGTACAGTTCTGCGGCATTAGGTACATTCACATAATTGTGCAGCCATCACCACTACCCACCTCCAGAACGTCCTCATCTTCCTCAACTAAACGTGTGTACCCGTTAAACACAAGCTCCCTATTCCCTGACAGCCATCTTCTACTTTCTGTCTCTATGGATCTGACTACTCTAGAAGCCTCATATTAAGAGAAATCATAAAATGCTCTTCTCAGAGCTCTGCCCTCTAATTTTAGCATCTATTGCCGAATCTCGCTTGCAACAATGACTACTGTGGTGTCCTAATGGTGATTTTCTATTTCTCTCATTCCTTCTACTCATCTGCTTCTGAAGTATTTAACATGTTTCTTTGATTCCCCTAAAGATTTATCAACCAAGTTTATTCCATCTAATTCTTGGAGAGAATTAGCAGAAAGTCCTTCAAATTGCTGATTAATAAAAGAAGGGTGCAGGCCTGTTCTGTATTTGGGCATCAGAAACAACTACATAACTTGCACGTCCCAGCCCCCAAATAAAAATGTAGGGACCCCTGTTAAAGGATTATTAAGAATTTCAAGACGGTGATAGTAGAGCATTAAACCCAGCAAGACCCTTTCTGGCCTCTAAACCGCCGCCTTCCCACGAAGCCAAGCCTGCTGTGCAAACTTCCCCAGCTTCTTGGACCATGCAGATCCTGGCTGGATCTGCAGAATCCTTAAGGAACAAGGAGCTGGGCCTCAGGGTTGGCCATCCCTCGAGATTTTAAGACCCGCCTCCAGGAATCAAGAGGATGGGCTTACTCTCATTCTTTGAAGTCTTTTTTCCCCCGGTTCCATTCAGACGGGAAAGAGGCTCATTGCTTCTCTTTAAGTAGCTCAGTACTAGGCTAAAAACAGCTCCCACCGAGTCTCTAGCCTGAGCAGCCCTAGAGCGGAACTTCCAAGGGCCCCCGACTCTTACCACGATGGAGGTCAGGTCCTCACTCTCAAAGCGGCTGATGGCCTGGTCCAAGGATTTATACATGGCAGCAGAGATGCGCTGGGTGATGAGTCTGTTCAAATCAATCGATCTGCCCAAAAGCTGCATGGGAGAGAGAGAGAGAGAAGTTCCTTGAAGTTCGCACAGGCACATGGTGACTACATGCACTGCACTGACAGGATACTGGACTCAAACTATCACGAACGCTACCAGGACAAACAGGGACTGTATGTAGAAAACGGTGTTGTTAAACGTCCTGAGTGTGATCATTCTATTTTGATGATGAGAGAACGTCCTTGTTCTTAGGAGATACGTGCTGAGGTACCAGGGGTAAAGTGTCATGGTGGCCACAACTTACTCTCAAGTGGCTAAGGAAAAGGTATGCATATTAAAAATATATTTATAAATATATATAAAATATATATTTAAAGTACATTTGCTGTATTTGTGAAAGAGAAAAAAACACATGCATAAGAAAAAGAAAATGAAGCACAAGTGTAAAATATGAATAATCCTGAATCAGGCTATAAAGTATACGTCTGTGTTGATTGTGTTATTCTTTCAACCAACCTATAGGTTTGAAATACAAAAAGTTGAGGAAAGATACAATTCACTCAGACTGCAGGAACTGGCTCAGGATGAGCTCTGGCACCCTGTGCAATGCTGACGTCCTGAATTTAGCCCTGAGGCTCTTGCATCTGGCCTGTGCCCCAGTGCACAGTCACCGCGGAGCAGCACTCTCTCAGCAAAGGCCCTACTGTGTGCCTTTGTGGGGGTGAATTTAAACGCATGAGGAGAAGGGCCTATTACAGGATGGAAAATATAGCTTAGGAACCTTTCCACTGCGGTACACGTGGGCATTCTTGCAGACGCTATATAGATATAGCAATAAACATTTATTGAGCACCTGCGGTGTGCACTGCACTTTGCTAGATGCCCAAGGGTTATTCTTTTATTTTTTTCTGCTTCCCTTTTAGAAGAGATATCCTACCAACTGACTAAAGCCCCTTAGAGCCATCTCGTGCACACACAAAGCCCTCAGGATTAACGTGGCTGATTCTAGCTGTGCTGGTGACTGATTGCCGTAATCTTCCGAGAGGCTCGCGGGAGCTCTCTCATGAGCGCCTGCTGTTGGCAGAGGTGAAAATGTTTTTCCTCTTAGGATTCTCCGCTTCTCTTGGATTTCTCATAGAGACGGGAAAACCCGGGGTTTACAGGGTAAACCCTCTCCTCTTTACCCAGGGCATCTGCCCTGCTCCCCATCACCTGAGCTGTCCCCATAAACATGTGAACCACACGATAAGCACACGGGGTCACAGCACATGGGCCATTTCACCGCCGTGTGGCCGACAGCAGGGCTTGGGAGGAGGGCGCGAGGTCTGCTGGAGGATCTGCTATTTTCTCTGCCTGGCTCACATCAACGGTTTACAGCTGGGGTATGTTTCTGAGCTCCTGGCAGCATTTCCTCTACATCTGGGGTCAAATGTTAACAGAGACTCCATGAAAACAAACCATAACCCTGGGTTTAGCCTGCCATGCTTCATTTCAGAGAACCCAGGGTCCTCCTCACTCAGGCCAGCACTGGGCCCCGTTCGGGGTAGATTTACCCATTTCTGAACGTCGGTCCCACCTGAAGGAGGTGGGCTGAAGCTTATGATGGGAGGACAAAGGCTTGGGGGGGCCATACTCATCAGAGGTGAGAGGCAGACGGATCTTCACAGCTCCTCTCTCCTGCCCATCCCACCTCCACCGTGGCTTTCGTCACCATACCTGGACATGTCTCTGTTTCAGCAGCGTTTCGTAGCGGTTGGACGGCGGGTACGGAATGATGACTCCGTAATTCTTACATTCGGCCCTAAAACGTTTGTCCAGCAGGACGCTGCAAGGGGTGAAAGTGAGACAAGGCCAGTGAACATGACCACCACTCACATCTACTTCAGATCAGAGCGTCAACTCACGAAGCGCCCCCTTCTATAGTTTAAATGTTGTTTTTTTCTGCTCTAGAGCAAAGGTCTTCAAATTTTTTTCAGCCAAAAAAGCTCAGTAGGTGAAGTAGAATTTTTAAGTTTAAGACAGGCAACGCAGAAGTTGAGCTTCTTCTTCCCCCTTTTATTCATTTACCAGAAAAGCAACCGAGTGCATGCCTGATACATCCCAGGAAACACTCTAGGCACCGGGGTTCGTACCCTCATGGAGCTTACACTCTGGTGAAGACAGACTGATGATAAATAAAGGAGAGGAACGAAATAATTTCAGACAATAGTCAATATCTGCATAGTATTTACCCTTCATGAGACGCGCACACACACACACACACACACACACACGTGTACACAGTCACTTTTTAATCTCAAAACAACCCTATGGACTAGATGTGCTATTACCATCTTCCATCTGAGTCACAGATTGCAGAGTAATGAGTGCTCTGAAAATAACCCAACAGGATCACTTGGTGCGAGGAGGTCAGGGAAAGTCTCTCTCTCTAAAGAGGTTTTGTTGGACAGACACCTAAATGCTAACACAGGGACGATTCGGGGGGAGAATCTTTCAGGCACAATTAGCCTGTCTGTGGAGAAAAGGAAAGCTGGCCAGTGTAGGTCCAGGGCAGGGCATGCCGGAGAGCATGGTGCAAAAACGACTTTAAGAAGTCAGTCTAGGGGCCAGATCACGTGGGACTGTGGAAGCGACAGTAAAGAGTTTAGATGTTTGCTAGATGTAACTGAAGCCACTGCAAGGTTTTAAGCAGGTGGCATCACCTACATCTACGCTGTCCAATACAGCAGCTGCCCACCACCTGAGCCCACTGAGCACCGGAAATGCAGCAGACCCAGGCTGAGATGTGCTTTTAGTATAAAATGCACACTAGCTTTTAAAGACTTAGGAAAAAAGACAATGGAAACCATCTGTTTAAGAATTGTTCACATGTGATTACATGCTGGAATTCTATTTTAGATATAACTGGATTATATAAAATATATTATTAAAATTAACTTCACCTGTTCATTTTTCCATTTTTTTAATATGGCCACTAAAACATTTACAGTCACCTCTGCGGCTCACATTTGTGGCTGCATTGTATTTCTGATGGACAGCGCTGATCTAGACCATTCTTTCCCTTTCAGGCTTTCTCTGACTCTCCCAGCCTCTCTCAGTCTCCCTCAACTCCCCATATTTTTGAAAACCACAGATCTTACAGGGAGGGACATAGACTAAGAGTCCTATTTCAGAACAAGTGTTTTGTAAACTAATATACCAAGGACCCAGGGTTTGACAAGTCTGAGTTTGTTATACAGACAATGAATCGGCATATTTGAAATGAGAATTGCCTCGGAGAAGCTGGAAGCCCAGCTCACTGTTACAGCCACACGCAGTTCAGTCCGGACAAGTACAAAGTGACCTCCTGGTCAAAGGCTGTGTTCGCTGCGCTTTCCCTGAAATCCTAACTGGATGCTTTCTACACTTTCCATCATTAAGAGCCATTCACTTCATTTAATGCACATTCTGTGTTAACGGAAACTATACACCAACTCCTGTCTGAAATGTATCAGAGCAACTCCAGTTGCTGAAAGCAACGCGAAACAAAACCTTACTGTAGAAAGAAAAAAATAAGCAACTATCTTTGAAATGATTGGTTTGTGTATTTGGATTTCCAGTAAGAAGGGAAATGCCTAATATATATACATATTGAGGTTTTTCTTGATCAGTATTATTATTGGTTGCAATTCCCAGGGGTCTAAATCAACACACACTGACACCACCAATAAGCCTGCACAACCTGACACGCCTCTTACCCAGACGTCTCCCTGGCCTCCTGTCTGGCCTTCCAACTCCCATTCTTGCTCACCTCCAATCCATTCTCGACATTTTTATGTTTCAAAAGATCAGTCTTTTAAAAATAAAAATCTAATCAGGTCACCATCGTACTTTGGAAACATCCCACGGTGTTCCATTCCTCCTGGGATAAACGTCTACAAGGCCGTGGGACCTGGGCCCTGCCGACCCGCCCAGCCTCATCATGCAGCCCGCCCCCTCTGCGGTCTGTGAATGACACAGTTACCTGTACTGACTCACGTGAAGTCCCCTCAACAGCCCATGAGGTAGGCGTGCTATTATTAATGATTATGCTTCTGCCCCAGGGACTTTGCACGTGTAGTTTCTTTTGCCGGCCATTTCCTGTTCTACTCGTCACCTAGTTTTACTAATTCAACTCCTACCAACTTCAGAAATGAGCTCAAATGTTACTTTCTCAGGACAGCCTTTCCAGTTCCTCGCTCCAAAGACTAGTTCAGGTTTAACTGGCACATATTCCCATTAACTGTGCCTTCATAGGAACCTCCCTTGTTACCGTGCATTCACTAGTTTCCACTGTCTGTTTTCCTTACTAGGCTGTAAGCACCAGGACGTCTAGCACCATCTCTGCCTGTTTTCCCTTCTCCTACATTCTAGCAGCCAGTCCAGGCCCATGGAATCGCTCAGATTTCCATAGGTGCTAAAGAAGAAGGGAGGTTTTGCAAGAGAGAATCTTGTCTTCCAGGTGGCAATCTTAGGACAGTCTGATGCAGCGCCCGGGGCTCTCCTACCTGCCAGCCATGGCCTTGTAGTAAGCAAAGATCTGGTCCGCCAGCTTGTAGACAAACTGATCAAAACACAGGTTCACCTGGTGAAAAGGAAGCAAGAAATGTCAATGGGGTCTGTCTGGCCTTATTACAGAAACTATGGTAATTCAAGAGGGCAGTTGGGTAGGACTGCCTGAAGCGTATTGTGGAGCAAGATGCTTTGAAGGAAAAAGAAAGGAAGACCTTGTGGTCAAGTAAGTTTTGAGAGTGTGGTCCCCTACTCTCAAGATCCTCAGTTAGGCACAAAGAAGGCAAAATTCAAAAAGCTGTTGAGGAACTGCCCTCCTCACTGGTCCCCTCCTCGCTGCTACAAGGTGCCTGCCTAGGCTGAACGCCCAAGATCGGATTTCACATCCTGTAATCACTCATCCCAGCCTCCCCTGGCCATCTCTCCCCATCGACTTTCTTGTCTTTTCCTTCCATACCACTTTGCTTTGCTTTGCAAATGAAAAGGTTCATGGTCATTAGAAATTTAAAGACAGTTTGCTTAAAAAGCTTTGGTTTTCAATGAACAAGACACCCCGTCTTGCCTTTTCAGTGTTTCATCATGTCGGTGGCAGAATGGGATGCTCAGGTGAGAAGAAAGTTCCCACGGTAGAGGATCGAAACCAAATCCTCCAGTGATGCCAAGAGCAGGGGCTGGCCAAAGGTGGGATGTTAAAGAGATGGGCTGTGGTAGTAGCAGGGCAACAGTGTGACTTCAGAGGAAATAGACTATTACATGATTAATCTTTGATCCTTTTCTTACCAAACTCCCAGCTCCATCATGTTAACTCTTCATTCAAAAGAGCTTTCGTATCTTTTATTTTACACTCGAAATGTTATTCTGGACATAAAAACAGTGTCATGTGCAGCTCTGTCTGCATATGCAGATAACCATGGACCATGGACTTTAATCTTCAAGAGTCCCCAGGGGGCCCTCCTCCAGGCAAAGAACTCACAGGGTCCAGGTGGGGGTGCCCAACTCATGCTCCCCTTCTAGAACCAGCTTTGAGTAATCTTGTCTACACAACCCAAGCCCCTTCCAGGGCGTGTGTGCTCTTTCCTCTGGGTTCACCCCTGAGGGTGGACTGCACTGCAGGTGTAAGGTTGGCCAAGGGGCCACTGTTTGTGGGAAGGGGTGGGAGACAAAGCTTGGGTGTCCACACAGAGGCCCATGAGGTCCTTTGTGGTAAAGAAGAGAATTTGCAAATGGGATGAGAAAGGAGGACAGGCCACGAGCTGGGGGGGAGGGGTCTCAGTTTATACTTCTGTCCCATGACCTCCAAGGTTACTCAGGGCTTGTCTGTATGCTTTCTTTATATTTATTTAAAAAATCTCACTTGGACACATGACACTCTAGATTTTTCATTTTCAATCTGCTGGAAAACATGACTATCTAAAATATTGTCAGAAAATGGACTTGTCAAGGCTGCTGAGATGCAACCAGTTCACTTGTCTCCTGGACTCTCTCCTCCCCAGTTTGTGTAATGCTCCGGAGTCAGAGAGGACAGATGCGCACTAGGGCCCATTAAGGTTTTCCATTCCCGTAGCAACTGGAAGATGTAAAAAGAAAGCAGAATCTCCACTAGCTTTTCTTTGAAACACACAAACTTTCAAACTAATTTGGTGAAAACGTTTATCCTAAAACATTCATATCTTTCCTTTATAAATAAGAATGCCTTATATTTGCATGACAATTTTACTTAATTGGCCTCATTCTAATGTTTATATAACCTCATGTACTTAGTTGAAGCAGAGACTCTCATTCCAATTTCCAGATGGCAAAGCTGAGACATTTCATTGTCATTTGTGCTGCTGATCTGCTGTTTCCAGTCCTTACTGGCCCGTGGTAGGACCGCACTTTCTCGCTCCTCTTTGAAAGGAGGCATAGGCATCTGACTTGGTTTGACTAATGACATGTGTCACTTCCAGGTGGAAGCTTTAAATACGAGAGTGTGATTCACCCCTAACTTTTCACCCCCGCCCTGGCCACTAGTGAATATCCCAGATGGGTCCCAGATGAAAGAGCCTAGAGCCAGCCCACAATGGAGAAATGAACCTTTGGTTTCAAGCTGTGACTGTTACTGGAGTGTATCCCAGCCTTTCCTGACCATTACAGAAATAAAGCCATTGAGTGAGTATTCAACAGCTGTTGTCTAAATGTTAGTGTCCCCCCAAATTCGTGTGCTGAAACCCCAACCTCCAAAGGTGAGCATATTAGGAGATGGGGGCCTTTGGGAAGTGATGAGGTCATGAGGATGGAATCCTCATGAATGGGACGAGTGCTCTGGTAAAAGAGACCCCAGTGAGCTCCCTGCCTCTTCCACCATGCGAGGACACAGTGGGACGTCTGGGACCCAGAGGGGGGCCCTCACCTGACCATGCTGGCACCTGAGCTCAGATTTCCAGCCTCCAGACCTGGGAGAAACACACTTCTGCCGTTGGTAAGCCACACGGTCTTATTTTGTTATAGCAGACCAGGGCAGCCCACCGTGTCTCCATAGCTAGAGGGTGGAGAAGCCCGACTCAGGGGACAAGATGGCGAGAACCAAAGGAGGAGGGTGACTTGCCTCGGCTTCGATCTCATCGTACAGGAACTGCTTTTTAAACTTGGTCAGAGCGTAGTAGGCGCTGTCGTTGTACAGATCCAACGGGTAGAGGACGTACCTGCAGGGGAAACCAATGCCCGGCAGCTCGCTAACCGTCGCTCTTACGGCAGGCTGGTTTGCACTCGCTCGGGAAATCAGAAAAGCTGGGTGAACCAGTGCAGGGTCAGGGAAAAAGACCCTTTCCGCTAAGGTGTTTCCAGCCTCCACTCAGGAATGATTCCCTTTACATTCTGCCTGCAGAAGCCAAAGTCCATGAATGCCGGGGGGAGGGTACAGCTCAAGTGGTACAGCGCATGCTTAGCAAGCACAGGGTCCTGGGTTCAATCCCCAGCACTGCCTCCAATAAATAAATAAATAAATAAATAAACCTAATTACCACCCTCCCCCCAAAAAACCCTACACACACACACACAAAGTCCCCGAACGTTAATCAATGCCAGGCCTGAAAAAAGCAGTCTGAGATGAAAAGCAATAGGGCGGTCATTAAGGACATTAGCTCCCTGACCCCCGGGGAGGAGCCTCGTCCCAGCGTGGCTCTTATGAGACTGACAACGCACAGGAAGTGCAGTTGGGCTGGGGGGCTTCTGAACCTAGCTGCAAGGCTGAGTCACAGCTGGTGTGACTCCATCCTGGATGGGGCTCACAGCCCCATCTGGAAAGTTCTGGAAAGAACAGGGCTCGCTGGCCGGCAAACTGCCCTCCACCTGCACCTCGGGAACCTCCTTGCTGGCCCAGTCCTGCCTCTTACTCCATCATGGAAGGTTCTTTGGTTTCCAGGATGTGGTCTGTTAGAATCCAGGGCATGGACATCTCAATGGGGAACTGGATGCGCCGGCCCATGGTTAACTCCAGGAAGAATTCTCGGAACCAGAGCTGGGAGAGGTCGCAACACTGCTGCAGGGCTTCTGGAGGCAGAGGGGAAAGAGTCTTGGGTTATACATCGGAAGCACCAAAGACCTAAGTTCTTCCTGTTTTTTTTGAGTTTCATTATTCTTCCACTGTGCGACGCACAGAGCAGACCCTCGTGAATAAGACTTGATCAGGAGACCCGCTCTCCCACACCTGAAGGCCAGCCTAATGTCTGTGTGAAGGACAGTGTTTGATAAGCTTTAGAGAGCGGTAGTGCACGGAGGAGGGAGCGGCAGTGATGTTTCAGAGTTCTAGATGCCCCTACAACTTCCATCATGCTCTCACAAAGCCATCCTGAAAACACGCCTATCTAAGTGTCAAAGTCTGTTTGCTGTCAGGGTCAAGACAGATCCACGTGTGCCTGCTTCTAATGGGTCTGCAGCTCCCTGACTCGTCACACATGGTGATTCTGATTCCTTACTGCCCAGAGACCTTGAAGGCCCCTCCTAGGCTGCTCTCTAGGGACAAGTTTGGACTGTAATACTGACAGACACATCACCCCTCCCAGGACCCTGGGAGGCCGCTCTCCCTCCACTCCCCCGGCCCACCTGCACAGGCATCCCGACAGGACAGGTGGAGTGGGGGACACGGGATCGGGGTGCAGCCTGGGAGCCTCCTTTGCTAGGAGCAACGAACATTAATCAGCTCAGAGCTGCTGCTTAACAGCAAAAGGCTGACTCAGTCCGTGCAGGGTTACCTGTTTTTGATCCCCCTTTACTAGGGACTTCGTAACAAATTAGCCACAAATATCTACTAAATTTAACCAAGTCAGAATAGCTGGACCGAGCCTGGCCTTTCTCAGAGCCCACAGAGAAGTATGCCTTTCTTCCTCTGGGTCAATCATCACATCTCTTTGGAACTTCCAGCCCAGTAGCCTTAGCCGCTCCGGTTCCTGGAAGCCCCCATTGTCTCCCCAGCACGGCGGCTCACCACTGATGTTGAGCAGGTGCGTGAAGAAGAAGGACTGTTTGTGGAAGTCCTCGATGGCAAGGACGATGGGTCCGTCCAGGCTGCTCCGCAGGGTCTTCTTGGAGCCGCTTTTGTCTGCAATGAGTGATTCAAGCATGGTCCGCACCATGTACAGCTTGAAAAAGAGAGTAACACAGGAAGGTCAGGGGCTGGCCCTCCATCCAGGGGAAAAGGCTGCTTTGTGCTGTATTTCTATGCTTTTTTCCTGCAGATATCTGTCCTTAAAAAGCACTGTCTTACGGAAGCACCAATTTAGGGTGTAAATTTGGAATATGTAACCTTCAAGAGGGAGACCGGCCAGCGGGGAAGGAAATTCTGCCTGGGGCCCGCATCCCTGGGTCCCCTGGCATCCCTGGGTAGGAGGACCTGCTAATACCAGGTCTTTCAAGGCCCAGGTTCCTGCCTGCTCTGCTCGGCCAAGGGCATGGGCATCAGAGGACAATTTCATTCCATGTCACTCTGGAGTCACTCCCTGTTTGATTGGACGGTTGCGCTGGCACCATGGGTGGAGCACTGGACTCAGGGTCAAAAGACTGGGGTTCAAGGCCAGGCACGGCCACTGATTTGCTGTGTGACCTTGGGCAACAAAGTCCCACTCTGGGCCTCAGTTTTCTTATCTGTTAACATGAGGAGGTTGCACCAGAGGCTTTCTCCAACCAATCCCTTTCAGCTCTAACATTCTGAGGAACCGTGAAATGGGGTAGTAGGATCCGAACAAGCCCCACCCCCTCAAGTTTCTGACCCTCATTGTTGAGGGATGGCGCCCTCTGGGGGCGCAAGCTGCATGGCACAGCCTGCCGAATCGCTGGGCGGAGAGCAGGTGAAGGTCGGTACTTACACAGGAGGCCTACTAGACAATTAACTCCTGCTTACAGAGGGCCTTAATGCAAAGGGCGCAAGTGCTAATCTAGATCTTTCCACACCATGTGTCTTTGAATCTTAGGGCTGGAAGGGGCCGTGAGGAGCCAGGCTAGTCCATTCCTGCTGCCTCCTGGAGAAGTGTACCCAACCAACCCAGCCAGGCGGTGTGATACCAGGGATCGGCAGCCTCTTCGGCCCTGTGTGCCACCAGTGGGGTGAAACAAAGCCCGCGGGGACCACTGGCAGGCCTAAGACATAGATGGGAGAGAGGAGGAGGGAGTGGGAGGGCAGGAGAGACAGGGAAGAGGGAGAGAGAGAAGAGAGAGAGAGAGAAAAGCAAGAGGTATTGTATACGGTGGGAAAGCCGCCACGACTGCTAGGGGCCACCTGCCGGCCACCTCTGAGATGCTCCAACCTCCCTCGGACACCACGTCCATCCTGGCCGCCTCCGGGCTCCTCTCGGACCTCGCCCACCGTGCGCCCGGCCCGGGCTGGGCAGCGCAGCCACGGGAAGGGGTGGTGCACCGTCCCCGACACAGCATGTCCCTTCGTGGTAAAGGAACCACCGGGGCTGCCGGTTTATCAGACAGTCCACCCTCTGCAGCCCTGTCGCCAGGCACGGCTGACCATCCCTGAGACTCGAGAGGCACTGCTCGAATGCTGGCCTTTGGAGTCCTCCGAGACAGGATTCTTCAATCCAATCTGTGCAGCTGTCAACTGACCTGTATCATATTCTAACCGTCTGAAAGTCCATTCCATTCCTAAGAGGGGAAACAGTTTCCCCGCCTACTTTTATTGAACAAGGCATTTAATTCACCAGAACGGTCACACCCCAGCTCTGCTAGGCGCCACGTCTACCGTGCTCCGAAGGCCCTAACAGAGCCCCAGGGTGGGAGTCAGGAGACCTGGTTCTCGTCCCACCATCACCTATGCCTCACCCTGTGACTTGGACAAGTCACTTCCCCTCTCTGGACCTCAGTTTCCCCATCTGTAAAATAGGAGGAGGGGACTGGGACTAGTTTGTCTCCAAGGGCTATTCCAAGCCGACTATCTGTGAGTCTATTAAGTGTGTCTGTGCTGTCTAACATGACTTAGGGGTGTTGGCTGAGGGGGTGTTAATTTGGTGACACTGCCTCTCACATTAACTTTGTAAATACTTCTTTCTCTCTCCCCGCCCCCTCACTCCTCTCTCGTTCTCTGCTAGCCCCTCTCTCAACCTCCTTTCCAGTTTCTCTTTTGCCTTGTCCCGGAAGAAACAGCCCTGCCTAGCCCTGCCAGGCCATTCTGGACCGGAAAGGTCCCTGGCCCTTTGACATCACAAAGAATTGTTTGTAGACGCTTCCTTGAGAAGTTCCAAAACTCTCCAGCAGGCAAGATAAGTGCCAAGCAGCCCGCAGGGGGCGGGCCAAGGGAAGCTAAGACAACAGTGCCGAGAACCCAGCTCACCCCTGTCCCGCCTCCCGGCCCCCCTGCCCAGACATAGACACACACACAGTGAGGAGGGTCAGGGGTGAGCCTCAGACGGCTCATCTCAGATGGTTCATGGACTCGGGATTTTGGGGATGAGAGAGGTTTACAGGTCATGTGAAGGAAGAGTTCCCAGCCTGGGGCTTCGGCAGCCTGTGAGACCTTTAAAAGCTATAATGGGTCTGTATGCTTTTTCCCAATACCTCAAAAAGCCTACCAGAAACCATTTATCCTTAAGTAGGTGGCAAGGATTTAACCAAGATGCCTAGGTCCTTTATTTGTTTTTTGGTTTTTGTTTTCCTGTAATTTTACGACCGCTTTGAGTAAGCCACGGGCAATCTCTTGTTCAAAAGGCTCTGGCTGGCAACTGAGTATCTCTGATTATCTGACTTTCTCTAAGGGGGCAACGGCCTTTGATACTTGGGATTTGGGGAGGGTGTGGGGAATAACAAAAGAGATCTTTTGTCCGTAACATGATCTCATCCAAAGTTTTCATTTACCAGAGAAGATAATCAGAGCTCAGAGAGGTCAAGACACCTGCCCAAGATCACACAGCAAGTCAGAGGCAGAACTTGGGAATTCCCAAGCTAGGAAGTCACTAGAGGGGAAGGAGTCAGGGTTCATTAAAGAGGGACAGGATAAATGCATACAGCTTCCACTTTAAACTCCTCCTACACATTGGAACCTGTACTTCACAGGGCTAGGATAGCCAGTCCTGATATTACCCCCATTTGCCAGATCAGACAACTGAGGCACAAAGAGATTGTGTAACATGCCCGAGATCACACAGGTATCTAGGACTAGAATCCAGGTCTCCTGAATCTTAAGCCAGTGGTCCTCCCTCTTACATCAAAACAAGATGGCAGAATAAGACTAGAGAAGCTGCTTGACCCGCCCCCTCCTGCCTGAGGACACCCAGCCCCACTGCCCCATGGTCCAGCCAGGATGACCTACCATAGCCTGGCTGGCCTCTGAGTCAGCGGAGCTGGCCTGTGCCTGGAGCCGCTTACCTGTGTGCTGGACGGCCCCACGGCACGCCGGGGCACCTTGATGTCAAATCCACCTTTGGGGTCCTTCTCTCCTCTCAAGCACGGGTCATTGGGGGGTTCTCGGCCCCCTTCCCAGTCACAGATAGTTTTCCGAATTGCCTGTAGGACACTGGGAAAGACAGAACCAGGACTCAAAAAGGTTTTACCATTGGAAGGAGGCACTGCAAGCCTATTTCTTGAGTCCACAGCGTCCAAGACCATGCGCTTTAAAATTCCTGGGTGCTTGTAAAACGTGCTCATTCCAGGGTCCACCCCCAGGGATACTGGCTTAACAGACTTGAGGTACAGTCCAGACGTCTGCATTTTACAATGCCCCTCTGATTCTGAAGCCCACTGGCTGGCTGAGAACTCAGCTCTGAGCCCGTACGGCAGGGGAGAACCTGAGTGAGGCAGGATGGAGATTCTTCTTTTTGGTGATAGAACAGTTTCATTAGTCCATTTAAATCTCCGTATATTTTAAGCTTTAATAATAGCTTACAGGTGTTGCATGCTCACTCCATGCTGCTGTGTGCTTAGGTCTACACATGGATTATCTCATTTCATCATCCCAGTAGCCTATGAAGTAAGTACCATTTATCGTCCACATTTTACAAATGAGGGAAACTGAGGTTCAGAGAAGGTAAGTGACTCGACTAAGTTCACACAGCTAGACAGTGGTGGATACGGGCTTCAAACGCAGAGATGAAGGCTTAATTCATTCCAAATGTCCAATCTCCTAAAAGGGCCTCCTAGACCTTGCTGGAACTCGCTGGAAGGGTCTGTGTGTGGAAGCTGAATGAGCCAGGACCGTCCCAGGCAGCCTGCACCCAGGACCCCCGGAAAGGCCGTCTGAACACCCACCTGATGAGGACGTTCTTCTTCTTCCGCACCGCCTGCCTGAGGGGCTCGCGCAGGGTCACCTGGGCGAAGTCCTGCAGGGCCGCGTAGATGGTGTTCCTGATGGCCTGGTTGAAGACACTCTCCATCCTGCCCATGAGCACCTGCAGGCCTTTGATCATGGCGATAACCTGGCCACGCAGAGATCATGGTCAGGCTCACCCAGCCCCGCACACCCGTCTGTCCGGTAGCCTCACCACACCTCGGGGAGGGTGCTGGCAGGGACACACAGTAGCATGAGGCCAGCCAATGCGACTCAGAGTGCCAGTTCACCGCTGGGTGGTGGAAGTGGGTGCCAGAGCGGAAATCAGCAGTCCGCTTCCCTTTGTCAAGGAAGTCCTGCTGCAGCGCGAAGGTGTCAGCCACACTGAGCGTGCGCCTCACCACGAGCTGACTTCCATTCTTGCACCCGCTCCCCATCTAGCCGCTGACCGGTGACAAGTGGCAGCTGGTCCATGGACCAGGTTTTGGGCAGCACTCTGACTTTTAGAGGCCTCTCCACGTACCATGTACCCATGACTATATCGAATAGAACTTTATTTTTACCATAAAATTTCCTGTAGTACTTTTACAATCTTGGATTTTGAAATAATTTGGCCCATTGCTGCTTGAGTGCATTGAATAGAAGTCTTGTCCGGGTAGGTCTCTGTCCTTCTAGGTGCCTCCTCCCTAGCCCCTGACCTCATCTGTCTGCAGAGGTGGGGAGACAGGTGTCTGCAATGCATGTTACACCACACAGACCTTGGTGCTGTCTGAGATCTATCTGCCTGTGGGGTGTGCCCTCTCCTCTGGGTGCCTTGCAGTTACCACCCCCCCATCCCGAGGAAGGGAGGCGTACATGTATGCAGCTGCTTTTCCTGTTTCCCAGTGGGAAGTTTCATGGGATGAAAGAGGAACAGGGAGCCCGGTGTGGCCTTGGATGGAAGCCATATTATTCTCTGGTCCAGCTTTACTAGCAACAAACTTGATCCTTGGCCACCATCAGCCTCAAGTGTGAGCTTCTAGATTAGCTCAGAATCCAGAGGGGAAAGCCTTGCCAGATCAGCCTTCTGACAACCTTCACGCCTGTCACACCCATCATGACGTGTTCGACTTCCTCCCTCTGCACCAGACTGTAAGCACTGCAAGGGCGAAGCCTGGCAGGCTGTGTACGCCCCCATCCCAGGGGTTTGGGTCCCTAGTGGGTCCACAAGAGATTTTCATTGAAAAACAGTGAACAAATGAACCAACGAGCTTCAATGCTAAGCCTTTATCTTCCTCTAAAACGTAAAGGAAGAAATAGAACATTTGCGGCAGGGGAAATGGTGAGAATAGAGTTCAGAAGGTGAGGATTTTCAGTAGAACCAACAGTCTAATGGTTTTGCTGAAGAGAACCTTTAGTGCAAAAATAACTAACATTAGGTCATAAAAGAATCTGGGCTCCTGGCTGGCAATGAAACTAGGAAATAAGGGACAAAAGGACAAGATAATGGAGATGTTTCAGAATAATCCCTAACACAGAAGAGCATGCAGACCGGTTAGACTCGAGGGAAAAATCTTTTCATCTTTGGGCTGGGCAGAGATTTCTTAGCTAGGACACACACAAAAAAATCATAAACCATAGAGTAATAGATAAGACTGGCTTAATCAAAATTAAAAACAGTTGCTTCTTAAAAAGCACCCCTAAGAAAATAAAAGGGCAAAGTCACCGATTAGAAAAATGATCTGCAGCATATATGTGACTATGGACTTGTATCTAGAATATATAAAGAATTCTCACAATTCGATAGTAAGAAGACAGAAACCCACTTTTTGAAAACGGGCAAAAATTTCACCAGATAATCACACTTCACAAAGGAAGAGGTATGAAAGGCCTGTAAGCACCCTGATGTGCAGTATCCGTTATTCTTAGGGGACTAGACTAGAACCAGCTTTTTAGAAGCAACGCTAAACACTAATGGGAGAATACCTTCAACATTCTGGGGGAAATTATTTACAATCTAAAATTCTTTATCTAAAATTAATAAAATAAAGTACGTAGAATTCTGTACCTAGCCACTCACTATGAGTGAAGTCAGAAATAAAATACTTTCAGACATTCACGATCTCAAAAATATTTTCTCCCATGACCCCTTTCTTAGAAAGCTGTTGGTGGATATTCTCCACGAACGTAAAGGGGGAGGCAGCCCTGGGCTCCAACACAGGGGAGAGACAGAGAATTCCTGGCGTATGCATGAGGAGACGTCTCAGATCAGCAGGTGAACAGCAGATCGAGAGGCTGGCTCTTAAAAAATGGCAGGAATGGCTCCAAGGGAAAAAGAGTAAAGGCGGGTGGGTGTAGCTCAGTGGTAGAGTATGTGCTTAGCACGCACGAGGTCCTGGGTTCAATCCCCAGTACCTCCATTAAAAAATAAGTAAACCTAATTACCTCCCCTCCTAAATCTAAATAAACAAGTAACAAAAAATTTTTTTAAAAAGAGTAATAAAATTCATAAAATAATTATTGTGATCAGCTATTTTGTAGGAAGTTTTACACGATGGTATGTTTGAGGGTTCCTTTTCGATAGGACCATAGAAAACCTAACAAAAAAAATAAGTCATGGTTAACTCTAGGAAAAGCAACAGTTGTACCAGACAAGAGATGTGTTCGCATGAGACCACGTGACTTAGCCTGGAACAACAGTTACTCAGTTACAATAATAATGCAGAGCAAATACTAACTTCACCAAACAGTGTGAAATCACCACTTTGGGAAGATGGGAGAAGGGAAGGGGATGTGCTGGGGGTTGGGGTCGGAGGTAAAGACAAAAGAACTAAATCCTTTTTTCCCAAAGTAGGAAATCAATAGAAAATCAATGGTAGGAAATCAACAGAAAATGCCACAAATTGAAAAACACAAGAACCACCCCTTAAGCCTGTCAAGGGAAGTACAGAGATAAATAAATACTGGAAGAAACAGCTTCATGAGGTGAGGTGTTTCCTGTTTGGGGATTCAGGGACGAGGGAGGTGCAGGTTACTACTATTTTGGCTTTGTTTTATTGTTGTTAAGTGCCACACAGAATTACTTTTCTTAAATTTATCTTCACACATTTTACTAATAAAAATTATAAAACCTCTCAATGTATAGTAAAGTAAGGGCGAGAAGGAAATACAGCAAAAACGTCACTGGTGGTAACTTTCTGAGGTTGTGGGAAGGTGAGGGTCGGTGTGGGGTTGGGAAGAGTCTTAAACCACCTGCGGTGCCTACGGATTGCTTTTACCAAGAAAGGTGTAAACCGTTTAACAAAGTTGCACATCCTCTCTGACTGTAAGCCTCACTTTAAGTGGGCTTGAGGGGGACTTCCTCCCCCAGTGACGATGCCTGGGAGACTGTCCCCTGGGCTGACTATTGGCAATGGAAGTGCCAGGGGGTCAGGACCACTCAGCGCAACGCCACACGTGATTACAACCTGCCTCCTGCCTGACATCACCCCCCCGAGCCTCAGGCCTCTAATGTGCAGCCTGGAGATCTGCTAAAGAGCAACACAGCCCCTAACACGTGTCTAACGCTTACAGCCTTCACAGCTCATCCACGCCATTATCTCTGGAATTACTCTTTGATTCTCAACAATGCCGGGAGGGAAGGGGGAAGAGATTATCAGCTCCATTTTACAAAGATGCTGATGCTCTGAGAGAAGGGCCCTGTGCTAGCATCTGGGTGTTTGACTTCGAGGCTTCAGATGGTCATGAGAGAGGGAGCAGTCACTCACAACCTAGTATGAATGAGCCCCACCACCCTCGGCATCCCCACAACAGAAATACCCTTTTGTGAACAACAAAAGCAGATCAGAAGGTTCTAAAGCAGGAAGTAAGACTCCTCCCTCCAGAAATGACTGCTAGTGGTTTGGTATACATAAATATACATACTTATGTCCTTCAGGTTTGAGAAAATGTGCAGAAGTATATTAATTTTAGTATAAATTGCATCATCTTACATGCTGTTTTTTAACTTTTTTAATCCTAACAATATACTGTGCATCCCTTTTCATGTCAGTACTTCATTTTAGTGGCTGCATAGTATTCAACGATAGAACTGTACCTTCATTTATTTTCCCTTGTCCATACTGAAGGACCTCTCTGTTGCTTCACGTATTTTATAATTGTAAACAATAAGGCAATAAACATTGTATGCCTCTGCATAGTTGGCTTATTTCCCTGAGATATTCTCCCCAGAAGAACTTTTGGGCCAAAGGGTATGCACATTAAAAATCTGAATGCATATGATCAGACTGTCCACACAGAATCATTGTAAAATGTAGACTGGACAGGCAAAGTATCTGAGAAGGTCTGCTTCCCTCTTCAACCAGCTACAGACGTCCCCTGTCTTCTGGATCTTTGCCATCCTAACTGGTCAACACCACATCTCATCTTGGTTTCGGTCTGTAGTTTTCTGGCCGTTTATCCGTTTGTGTATTTTTCTTATCTCTCTTGGCCATTTGTTTTGTTTCCTCTGTTGTTTCTAGGGGACTGATGCTTCCTTTGGGATTTTTAGGAACAGAATGAGTTTCTCACCGTCTCCGAATGACAACCGTGGACAGGAGCGAGTGCAGGTGGGAGGAAGGGGCAGGGAACTGCAGCCCCACGCCTGAGCCCGAGCGGCGGCCTCGGGGCCGAGGAGGAGGGGGGGGGCACCCACCTCGACGAAGGCGAACTTCTCCTCGCTGGTGTAGTTGTAGCGCGTGGCTCTCTCGTACTCCTCGGCCGTGCCAGGGCAGTCCTTGTTGCAGAACTTGTCTGTGGGGTGAACCAGCTTCCAGGAGTACTGCGGGGAGGGGAGAGACCCAAATGGCCATCAGCAGGTAAGCGCATCAAACAAACGTGGTGGCTCCACGCAGTGGAATATCACTCAGTCATAAAGGGGAAGGAAGTACTGAGCTGAGCAACAATGGACAGACCTTGAAAACATGAAGTAAAAGAAGCCAGACACAAATAACCATATACGATATGATTCTACTTATAGGAAACATCCAAAACAGGCAAGTCTACAGAGCCAGAAAGGACACTGCCCAGGGCTGCGGGGATAGGTAATGGGGGGTGACTGGACAGGGTTTCTTCTGAGGTGATGAAAATGTTCTACGTTTGACTGCGGCTGCACAACCCTGGGAATATACTAAAGATCAATGAATCCACATTTTGCTTTTTTTTTCTTTTTACTTAACAATGTTCCCTGAAGTTCTCTCTGTGTTAGGACGCAGAGGCTTCGCCCACCTCCTTTAATGGCGACACTCACTCCAGGTTGTGCAGCTGTATTACAGTTTCTTTACCTACTAAAGGACACGTAGACGGTTTGCCATTTTTCAGCATTGCAAACAATATATAGCAAATATTATTTAAAAATTTTTAATTTTTAATGGAGGTACTGAGGATTGATCCCAGGACCTCATGCACGCTAAGCACCTGCTCTACCACTGAGCTATACCCTATTCCCTTAATCTACATTTTAAATTGATGAATGGTGTGGTGAATTATATCTCAATAGAGCTGTTTAAAAGAAGGGTGCTGGGAAGAGACAGATGCTGAGTGGGCAGAGGTTAGGACAGAGGGGACTGGGGGTGCTCAGCTCTGGGACACCTACCACCTCCATGACGTGGGCACTCCACTTGGACAGGAGCTGCAGGCCCCGCAGAGCCAGGTCAAAGAGCTCGCGGTACTCCTCGTCTGACTTCTGGCTGTCCAGCCCGGAGCCCGTCACCACCTGGGGAACATCAGCCGTCACCCTCACCCTCCATGCACTTGGCACTTTCAAGCCTTATTTCATGGATTCCCTCCAAAACACTGCTATTATTATACCCCTTGACCGACAGAATGAGGCTCAGACAAGTGCCTTGCTGAAGGCCACTTAGCTTGTAAGCGATGAAGGGTTCAAATCCAGGTGGTGTGACACAAGAGCCCCACTCACGATCACCCTGGTTTACTGCAGAGCAGTGGCTTTTAAACTTTTTTGTCTGCAATTTATGGTAGGAAGTATGTACTAACTCAGGAGCGTACCTACTGAGAGGTATTCAATATAGACATGAAATGACATTTTTCATGAAGCAACTTTCTCCTTTATACACGAGATGCTGACTTTCTGTTCCCATACCAAAATGCTAATCTGAAACCACTAAATTGATCTCACAGCTCATTAATTAGAAATGACTCACTGACCGAAAAGCACTGGTGAAGATAAACATGAATTTGATGTGAAATATGTAAGCATGTGCCTGTGCAGAGGTATATTTGTCTGTACATGTGTTATGTATGGAACAGGCAAGGCACATACAGACGTATGGAGCCAGTCCTCATCATCTGTGAATTCTGTGTTTGTGAATTTGCCTACTCACTCACTAAAACTTACTTGTAATTTCAGAATCAATCCTTGCTGTGCTTGCTCAGTCATTTGCAGAAATGCACAGTGGCAAAAAAAAAAATCTGAGTCATGTTGCCAGCTGGGACTGAACAAGGCTCTGCCCTCTTGTTTCAGCTCATACTGCTGTCCCTTCCCTGGTCTACGTAGTGCCATGTTTTCCACAGTTTTATTCTTTTTACTGGTGATTTCACTATTTAAAATGGCCCCACGCACAGCACAGAAGCCCTGCCTGTGAGAAAGAAGGCTGTGATGAGCCTTACGGAGAAAATACGTGTTTTAGATAAGATTTGTTCAGGCGTGCGTTACAATGCCTTTGGCTGTGAGCTAATGTTAACAAACCAACAACATATATTATACAAGGGAGCTTTAACAGGAATGCAGGTAAAACAAGGTTATATACTAAAAATCAGCTGATGGAAATGTTGTGACCAGAGGCTCGCAGGAACCTACCCTGTGCTTTCCATAGGAGCAAGGGTTTAGCGCTGGCTGATTCAGCGTTCACAGCCACTTTTAATACAACTGCTGTGAATAACGAGAATTATCTGTATATACACATCTGCGAAGTGCATAATTTAAAAAGTAGCTCTGAGCCAGACTCATTCTTAGATCACACACACCCTCGACTCCTTGAGTGAAGAAGTCCTCAGCACTTAAACTCTTCCCACAGCGGATGTCCTGCTGATCGGCACGTATGGTTAAGAAAGCCGAAAGTCTGGGCTGGACTCTGGTCCATGTTCACCAGGGACCTTCCTTATAATGTGGGTCACTCGTGTGATAACCATACCGCCTGCATTTATTTGTCTGACCGTCCTCGTTTCAAGTATGTTTGCCCTTTGATCAAAGACATTTCCCTGGTTTGGGTTTGGGAAGTGTAACTCTGGCTTCCAGCCACATGGTGGAGCCAGAGAGCAAATGTGGGGTCCTGCAGTCGTCCAGGAGCCGGGGGTGAAAAAAAGGAAATCCATATTTACTAAACCAACATATATATTCACTACAAGGGTTTATATAGAAAGAGAGCCTGAAGGACCTATACATCCAAATGTTAATCACAGTTGGTTCTGGGTGGTAAGATTTTTCATGATGGATTTTCCCTCCTTTTGCCTATCTGTATTTTTTCCTGAGGTTATGCACACATCATGTTTCCCTATTTAAAACAAGAAGAAAAGAGAAATCCAGTGCCAGTAAAAATACAATTAGTGGGACTACAGGAGATTGTTTTGACCTTCTTCTGCCCCTAACTGCATTTTCTGGCTTGTTACAATGATGATTTATTATCACACAGTTTCAAAATACTTAGATGGTGTTATGAGCACGATTGTTCAGAACTTTGTTTCTCTTGCCATCCAGGGTGGAGATGGTTTGGATCATGTACAGACTACTGACAATTTCTGGGCTCTTACTATCTCCTAGGCACAATGCATTTACGCATGCATCATATTGTTTAATCCTCTCAATGAACCTTTCTGGATACTATTACCCCATTTTGCAGAGGAGGAAACTGAGGCTCAGAGATGTTGAATAACTTGTGAAGGTCAGCAGCAAAACCACAATCAAACCCAGTTCTGCCTGGCTCTAAAATCCAAACTCTTGGCCATTCTGCCCTCCTGTCTCCAATGTGCAGTCCCTCACTCCTGTTCTCCATGACCCCTATCAGCATTTCTTTCCAGGCTGGTCCTTAGCCCTTCTCACCCTGGACCCACTCGGGCCTCCATCCCAGCAGCCAGAGCGAGCTCACCTCACTGTTGCTGTAGCGAGCGAGTTCGGAGATGAAGCGGATGTGGTCATCCCGGATCTGAACCATCTGCTCGCAGATATTGTACTGGGGGCTGATGCTGCTCTGGGTGCACGTCCACCTGGGCAGAAAATCAGGGGGTTGGAGTGCATCCTGGCTTTAGGTGCCTGGGTGGGTAGGCTCCTTCCATTCACTAGATGCTCCCGGTGCTCAGCCAACGTTGCCGGCTCCCCTGGGTGGAACCAAGAAGTGTCCCAGCCACCAGCAAGAAAGCCCGCTAAATCCTGCCGTGGGGACTGCCGGCTGAGTGGAATGGCCTTTCCTCCTCCTTCCTAGGCCGGGCCTCCTCTAAGACCCCAACACAGGCTTTCCCAGATACTCAGAGTCCACAGTACTTACCAGTCATGAGAGCGAGGAGAGACTTGCAGCCTGTCTAGGGCTACAAAGGGCAGGGATTTGAGCACAGAAGCAGCAAGGTAGTTGACCTTCCAAGCCTGTCTCCTGACCCTGACAGCACCCCGTCCTGTGGTGGAAGCCGGCTTTGGAGGGGTCCTTGGGCGGGACTGGGGAAACCGAAGGGGACTGTGCCCCGTCTCCCACAGTGAGCTCTCCACGGGGAGGGCAGCCGCGCCGCCCTGAGAGGCGCTGCTCTCCCTCTCTCCTTCTCCCTCTCTCTCTCTCCTCCCTACTCCTCTTCTTCCTCTTCTTCCTTCTTCTCCTCACCCTTCCTCAGCTGCTTTGAAAGAGATCATGAGGAAGACATCTTGAATTGGAGAGGAAATGAATGAATGAGAAACCTCTCTCCTGACGGACAGAAAAAAAGACAACCCCATTCACCATCCTCTGCCGTCCGCTGCTGGGTGACCCAGTGGACAGACTAAGCATGGGCACCAAACAGGCAGATAAATATTGGAGAGAGAATCAATTTTTTCAGAAGGAGCTCTGAAAAGGCCCGCAAGAGAACACTCTGGTTGGGGACAGACTTCCTCACACCTACACTGAGGAGCTCCCTGTGTGGGGATGGGGCCACAATCACTCAGACTTCTGCCCCCGACCCTGCTCACATCAGCACTCCCAGCCAACTCTGGGGGGTTGAGAATCAATGCAGGGAAAGCGAGGAGAAGAGCTCAGCACCCTGGACTCCACGCTCTTCTGAGAAAACCTCACACACTCACAGCCAGCGCATCATGAAGAGACTAAACCACCTCTTCCTGGTGAGACCAACTGCGGGGGCTCAAAGCTGGCGGAGTTCAAGGATGCTCCACTTACATATTTTTAAGGCCCGAATCCCCTCACTCCAGAGACTAAAGGATGGTTGACCCCACAGTATATGGAAAGGCAGGCAGAAGATGCCTCCTTAACAATGCCAGAGATCACAGGGGCGGCCAAGGCTGTAGCTGGATGTCCCTCCAAGGTCCATGAGGTGCTGACACCCCGGACCTTAGCACAGGTCACCTAGGACAGTGGCTTATAAAACAAGCTAAGTTGAGGCCATCAACCCACTTCACAGTTGGGACCATCGGAACCACGCCCTGCATGGCACACTTACTGCGTGGACACGGAACCTGAGGAGAGAACCAGAGTGATGAAGGGCGGGGCCATCTGGCTCCACCTGACCGCTGAGGGCAGGCCGCTCCTCCCCGTTCCCGCGGGGAGGAGGACACTGCTGGCCCACTGCGGGGGCCTGGGCCTCCGTGGACACAGGCAAGGGGCGTGGCTGTGCTCTGAGCACTGTTGAACCCCGACAGCAAAGGGCAGGTGCAAAAGGGCTCAGAGCACCCTCCGCTGCTCCCCTCTGCCAGGCGCCAGTGATCTGATGGAGTCCACCTGCCCAGGGCTCTGGGGAGGGGGGAGGGGCTGAAGTGGCCCCTCGGCCCCCTGCCCGGGCCGGGCGTCCTCGCGGGAGCCGAGAGACATTACGGCAGGCACTCACTTGGACTTGTTCTCTTCATAGTGAGCACTGGTCTTAATGTATCTGGCCAGCTCTATCTGCATGTCGCCGAAAAGGGGCACCACCTGCAGCTGCTGCAAAGGAAGCAAACACAGCGTGTGAGACACGGAGGGAGGGCCAGGCGGCTGCCTTCCACTGGGGGAGGCAGGCCTGCATGCGTGCCTCCGGGCCGACCCCTAGTTTCTGCTTCCAGTGATGCTACCGTGTGACCCTGGAACCACAAAGAGCCCCAGCCAGCGTACAGGTCCTCCCCTGACTCCAACCATCCCAATGTTCCAGCAACCGAGCCCAGAGAGGCAGTGACTTGTCCAAGGTCACCCAGCAGACAGAACAGATGAAGGATAAGGACCAGACGGCCTGCCTCCTGGGGCAGTACCTTTTCTGCTCTAATTTTCGTGAGATTAGAGGATCCTTGCTGCTTAGAACTGTGGACTAGAAGTGGGTATCTGCATGTCACTGGCGGGGGGTGGCCCTCATAAGAAACTCCACAATGTGAAGGTGTTGAAAAACACAACCTAACACCAGAGGGCAGGCAACTGCCATGCGAAGACCAGGACAAATGCAGAGGAGGTATTTACTGCCTGCTTCTGACGCGCTAGGCACTGTGCCAAGCACTTCAAAACCAGAGGGTGTTCGGGCAGTGAAACTGTTCCGTATGATGCCCTAATGATGTGATACACTTGTCAAAGCTCATAGAACACACAAGGCCAGAGCTATCCCTACTGCAAACTATGGGCTTATTAGGGTGGCAACGACGTGCCAATGTAGGTTCATGGACTATAACAAATGCAGCCTTTTACTGGAAGGCTTCGATAATGGGGGAGGTTGTGCGTGAGTGGGGACCGGGGGTATCTGGGGAACCTCTGCTCATTCTGCTCACTTCTGCTGTGAACCTAAAACTACTCTAAAGAATAGTCCATTAAACAAAACAGAAAACAGTATCTCAGTCCATATAAGAACCCTGTGAGGGCAACACTATTCTCATTTCCATTTCACAGATGGAGAAACTGAAGCTTCAACAGCTTAAGTGATTTTTTTTCCCACAAAGTCAGACCAGCTAGAAGCCAGGGAGTCAGGACTATAACCCAGGGCTCTGACTCACTTAAGAAATCCCACTGAATCCTCAAAGGAACACTATAAAGTAGGTCCCCTTAGCGTCCCTATTTGTCGGGCTGGTAACTCAGATGCATAGAAGTTCTGTGACTGTCCCCACGTCACGCAGCTATGAAGTGGAGTGTGAGACTAGGACCCAGGGCTCAGGGAGGCGAGCTTACGGGCTTCCCTCCACCCCCACCTCATTTGCGCAGACTTAAGGCAGGGGCAGACTCTGCCAGCTCTCCCGAGAGGAGCCCTGTTCTCGTCTGGGGCATCTTCAGGGAAAAGGGAGTTCTAGCCTTGAAAAGAAGCTAAGCCGAGCCACGGGGTGCCTCTGGGCGACGTATTCCTCCCCCAGCTCCTACGAGTCAGTGGGACTCAGGCCCGGCCACACCTTGGAGGGGTTCCGCTTTTAATTTAAGCTGGTTTTCCCACATCTGACCTCAGAGGCTCCACTCCAGACCTGAAGTGCCTGATGCCGGAATAAACTGACAACATGGAATTCAATTCCAGAGTAGGAAACCCCTTTGAGAAAACCTCAAAGGCAAACCGGAAGGTTTTATTGTTGAAGATTTGGAGCCAAAAGATCAAATCTCCAAAGCCCTGGAACGAACTGAGTGCAGATGAGGCATTCTGCCCAGGGCAGGGGCGAGTGAGGGGGCCTCTGGTGGGCTGCGAGTTTGCGAATGTGAATCAATTTAAAATCCAGTCTTTAATCCCCCTGCTTCTGTGAGCTCTGGTTTATACTGAAAATTAAAGCAGGTGCTATCTTCTCCGATGCCCCTCTTTCTATAGACAGCAGGGGGTTTCAGGAAAGGGGAAAAGTAGTACACAGAGAGGATCATGAGGCCTCCCAGCCGAACCCCCGCTGAACCCCAAGACGCAAGCACGTGTCTGACTCACCCGACCCCGGGCAGCTGGAGGCCCTGTTGCTCTAGCCTCCTCCTCTTCTTGGGGTCTTTAGAGCTACAGTTCAACCAACAAGCCCCACTGCGAGCTGGCTAATTTCATTCCTTTCCCGAGAGAGACCCGCACCTTGGCCCCCTGCCCCAGTCCCCGCCCCAGTCCCCGCCCCAGGTGCTGACCTTGAAGAACTTATCAATTTTGCTGAGGTTGATTCTTTTCTTGGCATCCAGTTTGTAAATGTTACTGACATTTCCATCCATCAGGTAAAGACCAAAACCCATTACCTGAGTGAGAAGAGGCAGAGCCAGAAGTCAGTCACAGCCATCGGAAAAGTTTCAAAAAGTCAAGAAAAAGCAGATCTGTGCCTGTGTACACACCCTCCCCCAACCCCGTAGCGACACTATTACAAAAACCCATGTGTCTTCAAAAAGTAATAATAATAAAGGACATATAGGTCTAATTTCAACCAGAAATTTGATTTCTGTGAAGAAATGCAGGGGACCCTTTAATATATCATTATGGTGGCACTTCTTGAGTCTATCCCAAAGGCCAGAGTCTGTGCTTAGGGATTTAACAAAGCATTACCCTTAATTCTCACAACAATCTTATGCGTCAAGGTCTACACAATAACTTTATTCTACAGATGAGGAACTGGAGACACAGAGAGGTTAGTCAGCTTGCCAAGGTCACACAGCCAGTAAACTGCAGAGACAGGATCTGACAACAACATGTATGCACCTTTGGATCCTTCCTGAGAGCAAGGACGGGGTGGTCCTGATGTTGCATCCCTGAGGTCTAGCACATCCCGGCACTTGATGAAAACTTACTAGACGTTAAATGAATGTGAAACTATTCACCCCTTTCCCCAAGGAAGCTACAACAGTTTCCCGAGGAGCCACTGGTGACTTCATTAACAAAAACAACACATTTTTGCCAGGCAGTGCCCTATCAGGAGGCTGACAGGCTGATTTCTGACGTCCCATCCACATAATAATTTCCTGGCTTATTTTGCTCCTTTTGTCAAATGTACCGCGAGCCTGAGGGTGCCTGAACAACTAAGCTGAAAGCAGCTTCCCTCGGCTCACAGTTGCTATGTGACCGGGGATAAGTCGCATCTGGCACTCAAGGGCGTGGACCAGAGGAGGGGTACTTGGATTTTGTGGCTCTGCAGGGTGTGCGCCAGACTTTCCATTTAAGGTGAAAGGCGCCCCCTGGTGGCACCCGAGACGGGAAACAGCTCAACAGGGCTGGAGACCAGGTTGAGGAGGCAGAGAGGGAATGAGAGTGGGAAGCTGAGTCGTGCGTGGGTGGATGAAAAGCAGGCGAGATGAAAGAAGGGCCTGAGAAAGTGATGGCAGCATCTGAGGATGCCTGGTAGACTGGGATTTTGTAACCTCGTCTGTGGAAGCTGCAATTCTGGGCAGAGCTGTGGTGACTGCCCGGGCATGGCACTGAGGGGTAAGAGAAGCCACTGAACTGTGGGTGACTTCTCTGGATTTTTGATTGTGCAGCGGAAGCCAGAGTGAATGAGTCACCAAGCCACACTGCCCTGCAAGCTTCTTCGAGGTGCTATGGAAATGCAAAGAAGGGAACGCCAGCAGGGCTGGGATTCTTAAAGAGCAAAAGGGGACATGGAGGAGTGGAGGAAAATTCACATCAGCAGGGGAACTTTAAAAAGTGAGGTCCTGGGGAATAAAGAATCAAAAGGGGCTATGTGGTGTGTCTGAAGATTATGAAGGTTACTCCTTTCAGTGCTACTGTTGTCCGAGGGAAATTAGAAACAATCTCAGCACCTAGCAAGAGAGTAACAGCTAAAGAAATGAAAGTCTATCTGTAGGACATTATTTAAGGGCTGCACAACATTCCACATGCATTTAATGAAAGGGGATAAAAATTACACACACATATAATTTATGTATATTGCATACATCAGCACAGAAAAACTGAGGCGGATATACACTAAAATGCTGAAAGTGTTATCTCTGGATGGAAAGACTGTAAGAGATTCTATTTTGGGGGGCTTTTCTACAGAATCCAGATTTTCTATAACAATAAATATTACCTGATAATTTAAAAATGAAACTTGTAAACTGATGAAACAAACATGACTGTTTTGGCAAAATATAGCCAAAGTTGGATGGTCTGACCTTCCCTTTAAGTCAGCAATTCTACCTCCGGGGTATTTGGCTTAACAAGAGTACGTACACAAAGGCTGTGCTCCAAGGGTTTCAATGTAGTTTAGCAAAGAAATATCCAACAACAGGGAATTTGTTAAGAAACAAGGATCCCATGCAATGGAATGCTCATCAGCCATTAAAAACCACACTGTAGAAATGGCCTTAATGCTGTCTGGGAAGGTGTATGTGACATATTAAAGGGGGAAGAAAAGGTTACAAAACATTATGTGCAGTAAAATCTGTATCAACGCTGAAGCACACAGAACAATTTTTTAAATAAGAAGGCAGTGAGAGGGCGAGCCCAGATCTCGGGGTGTGTGGCAGGGTGCTGTACCTTGAGGAGCATGTGCTTCTCGCTGGGGGTCAGATACATCTTATTCTCGTAGTAATCCACACAGATGTTGACGATGTCCGCCAGGAGCTCCTCGTAGCCTGGGATCACTTCGAGTTGCTGATGGAGACACTAAACAGCAGCGCCCCCTCCTGGTTAGTCCCTCTCCTGCACCCTCCTCACACACACCACCTAGAAGGCCCCCCGCCTGGGCCCTGGCACAATGACCCGCCCACTGACCGCCCCTGGTAGAAGGGAGCCTGTGGCCTCTCTTCAACGTCCCCACAGCAGTTGCTAGAGCGCCTGTATATCTCTCAGGGCAGGCTCTGACCCCTGGGGCTCCCCATTGTCTTTCTTGGTGGTTCTGATGGTTAGAAAGTGTTTTCTAATGAACTCATCTACAAAACAGAAACAGACATAGGAAACAATCTCATGGTTACCAGGGCAAAGGGGACAGGAAGGGATAAATTTGGGAGTTTGAAATTTGCAAAGGTTAACCACTATATATAAAAATAGATTCAAAAACAAATTTCTTCCGTACAGCACAGGGAATTATGTTCAATATCTCGTAATAACCTTTAATGGAAAATAAATATATGTATGTATATGCATACCTGGGACATTGTGCTGTCCACCAGAAATTGACACATTGTAACTGACGGTACTTCAATAAAAAAAAAGTGCTTTCTTGGGGTGAGCTGAAAAGGAGTTTGACTCCACAGCAACAGGTCTGTGGTCATCTTGGCTTAGTTTTGAGGGTGTGGACTGAGCCGTGATGTCTCCTCAGAGGGCGGCGGGAAGACCCAGCCCAGGGGAGAAGAGCTGCGCAAGCAGGTGTCTCCCTTCTGGCAGGACACGCAGTGCAAACACATTTCCCCTATGAGAAGGCCTGAGGCCTCCTCTCAGCCCCTTCCCCTTCTCTCCAAAGGGGCAGCCCTGTGGGTGTGCAGCGGAGGGCACTGCTGGCTTTCTACCTACAGCACGGGGCTCAGACGTGCAGCTGAGTCCCCGGGACAGAAACCTGAGGTCTCAACACTGAGTGTGGCCTTCTGCAGACAACAAAGAGCAGGGAAGAGCCCGTGAAGCCAGCAACCCTGAGAGGGATCTGAGCCCGGAAACCCTTCAAAGACGGTGGGCCCCTCTCAGGTTTTGGCCTGGGTCCTGCTGACATTCCTGCTGGTGCCAGTTCAAGCTGACCTGGCAGATGCCTAAGACAGGTTACGTTATGTCAGGTGGAGCGTGGGGGCGCCCCGGCAGAGTGGTGGCAGTAACTAACTACAACTTCTCATGTCCTTGCTGTCTGCCAGGCTCCACGTGCTAAGGGCTTTTCATACACTGTCTCATGGACTTCTCGCCACAGTCCTAGGGGTGGATTCTCATCAGAGTCACAAAATAACAGCCCCATTTTACAGATGAGTAAACTGAGGTTTGGACCTTGCCCAAGGCCTCACTGTGGGTCACTGGAGGGTCCACGATGAGAAAACAAGGCGGTCTAACTGCAGAACCCAAGCTCTCAATCTATACCAATGCAGGGGCCGAACACTGGCTAGAAGGTTTTCAGAGGACAAACTCCAGAGAGGGTGAAGGACCATTGAGACTTAAGTCTGTAGCTTAAAGCTTGAGGAGGGCAGTGGGGACGGAGGACCTGGACACAGCTCCTCTGCTCATGGTCCCCCCAACTTCCCGGCCCCGACGTGTGTCCCGGGACACAGGGTTTGCCATCACCTGGGTGATCCTGTTGTGGTTGGCCAGGAACATGGAAAGGTTCTGGGACTCCTGGATAGACTGGGGGTCTGCCATCTTCCTCAGGAACTGCGCCGCCCTGGACACGGTGTTGCAGAGAAGAGGGCTCAAGCCAGCAGGCCTAACCCAGGCCCCCCCGGCTCCGGCTCCGGCTCCCACCTAACTGGTATTACACAGTCCCTGAGGATGAGGAGTTCTGAACGTCACAAGGGACTCTAACATCAAAGGAGAGTGTGCTCTGGAGTCGTTTCATTTGGAGCTGTCTGCACCCTTGTAATCAGGGTACCTGAAATTAGGAGGCAAGAACGCACTGATGCTGAAACTAGGAAAGACTGAAGGCAGCTAGCATCACATCAACCAGCCTGAGGCTGGAGGACAGAGCAGAGCAGGCATCCGGTGCCTCGCAGTGACCTCCACTGAATGGAGAAGAGTTACGGGCAGGATGCTTTGTTTTTGCTGTGTATTATGTTACTCATAGGAAAATCCCAAATTTATAAAGCAAAACATTGTATGGAAAACAAAAGTCTATGCAACCCAACAGGATTACAGGTGAAGGGAGATGGCTGTGGAGGACAGAGCAGGATTTAAAGGGAGAAAACCACAGCCCTAGGACTTCTCCAGCCGGACCTAGAGGCAGTGCACGTGTGTCACCAGGGCCTGGGAACACGTACAAGACACCCGCCTAGCTCACAACCCTAGCTGGTCCTCAGAGTATGTCGGCTGGGATGGAAGGAGTTGGCCAAATCTGGGGAGATTTTGAGAGGAAGATACTGTACTATGAGCTGTCAATGAAATCTTTGTGAAATTGCCATTTCTGAGTCAGCCTTGAATGGGGTTCTGTCTTCTGGGTGCTCCCTGGTTTCAGTTCACTCGGGATAAAACCGTGAGGGTCAGTCTGCTGTCTGCTTTCTCTAGTCACCCTGGAGCCCCAGGGGGATGTGATTCAAGGAGGCAGCCCTTTCCATTAGTGACCCAGAAAATCCTTCCCAAGAGATGGGTCCCGACACCTTGGAGCTTATCTGAGCTTTGGACTGTCTGTTGTCTTCGACTGCCCTCCCTCACTTTTGGGTGGCTGTATCCAAATTTCTAGAGGGGAGCAATCCCTCCCCCGCTCCAGACCTTCTTTCTTGTGAGCTGACAGTGACCCCCAAATGACCCCAAGGGCAAGCATCTCTCCCAGCCAAGCACACCCCCACCCCGCTCAACACACACACACAGTGACCTGTGGAGGGATTAGCACACGACCTAAGCTGGGGCAATGACAACCGGCCTTGGGACTTCTGCAAAAATATTTACAAGGAGGAGCAACCTTTCCTTCCTTGGAAGCTGGGGTAGCTACGCTGGCCGGAGGGAAGCTTACAGCTTCTGGAGGCCACAAGCCTGCCTGATAACGAGGCCCATACCGAGAGGAGTTAAGCTGAGAGGCAGAGGGAACCAGACCAACAACATCACTTGAGTCCCTGGATCAGGTACACCAGGACTGCTCCGTCCTGGGAGCCAATCCAGTTCCTTCTTTTACAAAAGCAGTCTGACCTGGCTTTCTGATTCTTGCCAGGAATGAGGACTGTGACCATTTTTATGATTATCTTACTGGTCTCGGACTGCACCAGGCACAGAAAATGCTGCTGCCTCACAGGTGGGGCAAATGAGGATTTGATTCCAACCTGAGACAGAAAACCCTGCAAAGATCCAGTTCTCCAAAGCTCAGCTCTGCATCTTTAAGGACTATTAAAGGGCAAAAACAGAGACAGAGCCCGCCACCGCTGTGTTGGGGGCGGGGAATGGCGAGCTTAGGTTCGAGGAGGAGCCTGGTAGAAGGACCCCCTCCGCTCCCACCTGTCGGACAGGTGCCCAGGAAGGGGGCGGCGGGGCGGGGGCGGGGCTGACCTCTTGTAGGCAGAGTGGTCGTTCTTGACGCTGCATTTCATGTTCTTCAGCTCGTCCAGGACAGCGAACATGTTGATGAACTTGCCCAGGGTCAGGAGGTAGGCCTCGGACACGAAGTCCTTCCTCCGTTCGGCATGGCACAGCCGCTTCACCTCGCTGCAGAAACGCTCGATGGCCTTGCGCTGCGGGCAGAGGGGCGGCGGTAAGGACCGGGCGGCTCACCGCGCTCCCCGGTGGGGAGCGGGCCGAGGCCGCCCGCGGGTCCCGCTCAGAGCCTGGACATCTAGAGGAAGGCCAGTCTGCCTGCAGGTCTTCCTCCGGGGAGTCCTGAAATCCAAAGCTGACTTCTGGAGGGAAGCCCAGAACCCGACCCCGACGTGAGTCAAGGGAATTCAATCATTCACCGCGCCCTCGCTTTGAAGGTTGTATGTCTCGTTCATTTCTGTATCCCTGCGCCTGGGGCAGAGCAGGCACCAGGTGATCAGCGGGTAGAGATGAAGAGAGACAGAGACACTCAAGGGAAGAGGTTCATGCATCCAATGAATGGTGTTTACTGGGCATCTTCTGTGTGACGGGCACCCTTCTTGGCACTGGGTTAAGGCAAGAAACAAAACAAACCTCTACCCTAAGGAGCTTGTATTCAAGTAACAAATGACAGAAAACAAAATAAATTCTCTATATTAGAATGTGCTATGTGCTATGGAGGAAAATACAGCAAGGGAAGGAGATAGGGAGGCCTCCAAAGAAGAGATCAGCCACGCTTTCTCCTTCCAGAGTTTAAGTCCAATGAAATTTTCTGCCATAACAGAAATGTTCCGTTATCTACCCTGTCCAGGCAGTAGCCACTCATCATACCTGGAGCCTGAGCACTTGAAATGGCTAATGCGACAGAGGAGCTGCACTGTTCATTTTATTTAATCACAATTTATGTCAGCAGGCCCTCAGCTCAGCACTTACTCAGTTTTGGGCTAGTTTTTCTCTCTTGGACCTACCTTCTGGAAGAGATATTAGGCTCCTTGAAGGCAGGTCTAGGATGCTAGTAACAGCAACTGTGATTTGTTACATCTGTATAACGAGGAATCTACAAACAGGGCTTTTGACAAATAGAGCTCATTTGTTGGGGAGGGTGTCGCTCAGTGGTAGAGCGTGTGCTTAGTAGGCACGAGGTCCCGGGTTCAGTCCCCAGTGCCTCCATCAGAGTAAGTAAATAAATATTTTAAACAAGTAGACCTCATTTATCTTCACTGAAAACCTGCAAAATAGGCACTTTCCAAGGTATCAGAGCTGTCACATCACTACCAGGGCCCAGCAAGTTGTGGCAGAGCCTGGGTGTCTCTGCCTCACAGCTCCGCCTGCACCTTCCCCAGGTGTTCCTTCCCAGCTCCCGCCCCAGGAGACCAGCAAGGAGCTGGGCGCAGGGCAGACACCCGGGCGGTGCCTGCCTGTCTACCTATGATGCTCACAAGTGCACGTGGAGCACGTGAAGGGCAGTGTGTGGCATGACTCCCACCCAGGTACAGGGTAGCCTTCAAGTGCTCAGCCTGCCTTCCTGAACGGCTTCCAAGAGAACCACAATAACCAGCTTGCCCTCTTATCTTCCATTCCCAGGGGCTTCTGGCCCGCCTTTCCCTTTTCCTCCTTTAAACGATCATTCTTCTTGGCCTCCCAGCTGGTCGCCCCGCTGCCACTCTTCTCCCCTTCCGCCCTCGACCTCAGTACTGCCCCTACCTCCCAACCACGATCCACACAGCCACCAGCATGTTTGTTGTCCAACAGCTGGATCAGATCCCGTCACTGGCAACCTCTAGGGGCTTCCCACGGGGCTTGAATAAAATCCACATATTCTTTGCATGGCCCATGGTGCCCCGTAGGGTCGAATCCCTGCCTACAACTCCAAGCTCTCCTCTCCTCACCCCCCCTCCTCGCCATGCAGCGTCCCTGGCTTTGTTCCATTTCTTAAACACGTCCTGCTCCTTGAGGCTTCAGGACTTTTGCCTTTGCAGTTCCTTCTGCCTCAATCCCTCTGCCTCAGGGTCCTCACATGCCAACCTCTCTCAAATCATACAGGTCTCAGTTCAGATGCCACCTGCTTCCCAAGAGCCCGTCCCTAAAGCTGAGTCATGTCGCCAACACCCTCCACCCCGGAGTTTTTTCAGCTTTTATTTTATTCATAACACGTATCATGTGGCGTAATGTTCACTGTCAGTCTCTCACCCTACCCAGACACACTGGTCTGCTGACTAGGATGTAAATTACATGGAGGGAGGGGGCTTGGCTGTCTTGCTCACCTAGGGGTGGGTTAGGGCACTAGAAAGTATTGGCCAACGAATAAATAACATGGCACAAAAATCCAGACCCCAGTGTCTAGAAGCGTGGGGGCCGTCTCAAGTCTCCTGGTCCAGAGCCACCCGGATCCCCTCACCTGAAAGTACATGAACTTCATGAGCTTGGTGACCTCTGGCTCCAGCACCTCCACCGTCTTCTCATAGATCTCCACTCGGTTGGGCTGCTCGTTGCATTTCACCTGTGGGGAGACGGGGGTTTCACACACCCTGGTTCACTCAGGCAGTCCTGGTTCACACCTGCTGTCTTATTAATAGGGCCCTTTTTCACTGTCAAATCTACCTCATTGAGGATGATAAATGGCACAGTTACCCAGTGAGAGGGAGGCCATGGTAGCCCTGTTTGATGGCTCTGACAGGGGCAGATCTGCTCCCCAGACACTGGCTGCGGGAAAGAAACCAGCTGGTCCCGAGAGCAGAACCTGCTTCCCCTTCAGTCTGCTCTGTGCCTGGACTGTAAGCCGCACACACGGCCACGCTGATCTCCTTCCCTCCGCCTTCTCCGACTCCTTACCCCAGAGGAACCTGCCGGATTCTGAGCAGAGAAAAACGTCCTGTCCAATGGGGGCAGAACCCCCTGGCCATACTCGGCCCCATCAGGAAGCCCATTTTCCCTGCCCAGGGGTTTGCAGCATACCGGCATCGCGTGGCAGGTGTTTGCACAACATGCACACCCAAGGCTGCTAACATGTCACCAAAACTGGAGAGTGAGCAAAGGGTAAGCACAGGGACGTTCTTCACACTTAGAAATTCTTAAAACGGTAGCAACACACGAAGTAACCACCAGTCGGTGATTAAATGGATCAACCATGCTGCATTCACATACTATCGTTACAGAACTTTTAGTGGGGATGAGACAGATGTGTGGCCTGACAAGGAAAGGTTGCTAACCTAAAGTGACTGGTGAAAACGGCTGCGGGACAGGAAGGGTAATTTAATCCCACGTGTGTTCAACGAAACACAAAACAGTGTATTTGTGTGACCATACACATACAGGCACAATCTGAAAAGGTGCAAACCAAGCTGTTAATAAGTAGTTACCCGGGGGCTAGGAGTGGGAGGAAGCGAGAGAAATGGTTTCTGTTTTTACACCCATGCCTTGTTGATTTGGTTCCAGTGGGACCCATGACTAATATGACAATGGTAAAAATAACACCTGTATGTGTTGGCATGAAAAGAAGCCAGTAATAAAGTGTAAAAAAACCAACTAGCAGAACCATATAAATAAGAAACAACACAGTTTTTAAAATGATAATAATTTACAAAGCAATAACCACAGGAATATTCACGATGTCTGAGGACAGAGATCCAGGTGAAGGCGCAGCCAAGTGTCCACAGTGACCATACTTTGGAGGGAGGTTGGTTTGGGTGGCTGGGGGAGGATTTTACTTTATACCTTTCTGCAGTGGTTTGGGTGTGTCATATGGTTAGCATATGCTGCTTTCAAAAATAAAATGATACTGAGGTTTTTTTTTAAGTTGGCATCCATTTTACAGGAAGCTCTCCGAATGTGCTCTGTGCACCCCTGGGGATAAGAGGCCCTGCTTTACTCCCGGCCACCTGGAGAGGCTCAGCAATCCGGGCAGGAGAGCCACCGGCAAGGACTGTCTCACCTGGGGGATGGCTCGGGAACAGCTGCGCCAGGTGTACAGCATGACCGCGTACTCGTGCCCTTCCTCCAGCATTTCGTTCTGCAAAGAGAAACGTGCTCAGCAAGGAGAAACCGCTCCGGTGCCACACGAGATTTCTCAACAGTGCCCCACCCCCTAAATCCTCACAGTGCGGTCCGCAGACTCCCAGCAACGGCATCACCTTGGGGGGCTTATTGGAAATAAGGGGCCTATGGAATCTGAACCTGCATTTCAATAAAATTCCCAGGTGACTCACACTCCGAGGTGCACAGTGAGAAGCTCTGGCCTAAATTATCCTCATCAGGCACCCCAGGGCTCTCCGAGCAGGGCACATTTTCCAAAGACAGATGGCCCCCTTAGAAAGGAGGAGGCAGACCTATTAGTTCCAGCAGCAAAAGTTGTCCCAGATATACACTAAGCAAGAAGGTAAGCAAATAGCAAAACAGTTTATAACAGCAGATAGGTTACAAAAACGAAGAGTGATAATTGCGAAAGTGTATTGAAAAATATATCGGTGGGACTGCACCAAAACTATGAAGAGCGAGTTCTCTGTGGTGCTGGATAAACAGGGGCTTCCACTTTTCATGTCATATCATGCTATACTGTTTGCACTTTTCTAAGAGCCCATGTTACTATTTCCTAAGTGGGAAGATGATTCAGCTTAATTTTAAAAAATAATACAGAGCAGATGGCAAAGCCAACAACAGTGTGAAACATGAAGCTGCTGACTCACCTCACGTAGCAAGCGCTCCTGTGGAAAGAGCCTGAAAGGCAGGGTCCAGCTACCTGGGCTGAAACCCAGCCTCGTCACTTCTCAGCCCTTTGGCCTTCAGGAAATCACTTAACTGAAAATCCTCCATTTAGTCATCTGTCTAATGACGGTGACAATAACAACCTCAGAGACTTTTATGAAAATTAAATGGAACAAACACACACACATACACACACACACACACTGGGTAATCTGTAAAGGGGGTTAAGAGTGCTACTACGTCTGGTAGTTCCTCAAAAAGTTGAACACTGAGTTACCGTATGACCCAGCAATGCCACTCTGTGGTATAGAACCAAGAGAAATGAAAACACATGTCCATACAGAGACTTCCACACTTGTTCATAGCAGAATTATTCTAACAGTCAAAAAGTGGAAATTCACCAAAAGTTCCATCAACAGAAGAACCTCTCAAAAAATAAAGAGTATTACTAGATCTTCTCTTTTGTAAATGTCTGTATCAGCACAAAAGTGGGCCTTTACCAACTTACTTTTTATTCCACGTCTCTATTTCATGATATCTTCCTAGCATAAGATCAGGTTTAATGTAGAGTTTCATTACTTTTTATAGCTTTGTTTTCAACAGCAAAGTCACTGACGAGTCACACATTCAGTTCTCAATTTAGAGCACTTTTTAAATCAGTAACATGTTGTCCTCGAGACCAGAGAGAACTAAGAGCAAGCCACGGGCAGGTGTGAACATTCCGAATCATTCATCCAGTAAGCATTTCACCGAGCACTCACGGATCCCAGGCTGCTGCTATGTGCTGGGAACAGGTCAGTGAGCAAGAATGATGTGGACTCTGCCCCGTGGACAGTTCAGGGGACCATCAGTCAGATGTGCTGTATAATTATGCCTGGAATCTAGAGATCAGGATGGTGGGATGAGTCCTGGGCAGGGCCTCAGGAGACTTGAGTTCTGGCCCTGGCTCTGCTCAGACCCACCTTTTACCTGGAAAATATCATGGTTCTCTCATTTGGAGACAAAGATTTGGCCTAAATCCCTGGTTCTCAGCCCCGGCTGCCCATTAGTCACCTGGGGAACTTTGAAAATGCCTCATGCTCAGGCTGGACATGAAATCATTATCCCTGGGGGAGGGACCCAGGCACTGGTGGGTTTTTTAATGCTTTCCAGGTGATTCCAATGAGCAGCCCAGGTTGACAGCTGCAGGACTAAGGCTCTCTCAGGTCCTTTACATCTGAAGATTCTCTAAGTCCATGATTTAAACTCAATGTGAGTTCAGTTCAAATTTCAGATGGTGACAGGCTGTACCTCTCAGCACTGACTTTGGACACTCGGCCCCAATCTCACCTCCAGCAAAGAACCCTTGACTGTTCCACGTAGCTGGTCAATTACATGGTTTGCACACTTTCTCCTCCTCCTCTTTTCTCTCGCTATCCTGCCCTTTGAGAGACTCACCTTGCCCAAGTTTGGGGCAGGAGAAACACAAGATGAACATCTAATGAAGCCACTTGCTGCCGATAAGCTACTCTAGAAAAAGATTTCACAAGGTACGAGGTGGAGATTGTTGAAAAAGTGAGGTTTTGGCATTATCCATGAATGTCAACAATACACCCTATTTTTGACCCTGCCCAAAACCACTATCCCTGTGTTGGCAGAATAATGACCCCACAAAGATGTCCACATCCTACTCCCTAGAATCTGTGAAAGCAATACCTCACATGGCGCAAGGGACTTTGCAGATGTAATTAAGTTAGAGACTTTGGGATGGGGAGGTTATCGTGGATTATCTCGTGCACCCAATGTAATGGCAAGGGTCTTAATACATTAAAGAGGGACGTGAGAGAGTCAGAGCAGGAGATGAGGGATAAACCAGAGACTGGAGTGGTGTGACTGCTGGCTGGAAGAGGGCTGGGCCTCTGGGAGCTGGAAAAAAAGGAAACAGACTCCCTGGGAATCCATTTTGTTCCCGCTCCCCCCTGCTCTGATCCCCAGCTGGCTGTTCAGCCAGGGGGAGCTGACCTCCAGTGTTTCTCACAGCCACACCCGCTCAGCCAGGCCTCCAGTGTGGATACTTCAGTGATCTCAAATGATTTATTTACCTCATTCACGCCTCCTTACAACTCCTTCTGCACATAATTGACGAATGAACTTTCTCCCCAGGCACAGCTCTGTTCACATTTCTCCCATCAATGAAGAATTCCCATTTTGATTAAGTGAATTAAAGCTGCCTGCTATGGGCTGACTTGTGTCCCCCCAAATTTATATGTTGAAATCCTAACCCTAGTACCTCGCAAGGTGATTATATTTGGAGTCGGGGCTTTTACAGAGGTGATTAAGTTAAAGTCAGGCCATAAAGGTGGATCCTAATCCAATCTAACTCAATTTGGACACACAGGGAGACAGCACACACGTGTGTGCACAGAGAAGAGACCCATGAGAATACAGCTGGATGGCGGCTGTCTGCAAGCCGCGGAAAGGCCTCAGGGGAAAGCAATCTTGCTGACACCTGGATCTTGGATTTTTCATCTCCAGAATGGGAAAAAATATATTTGCTGTTTAAGCCACCCAGTTTGTGGTATTCGTTACGGCAGCTCTATCAAACCAATGCATCCTCTATGCACTGACCCTTACCTAGTTTTTCATGAATACCCCAGGGAATTTCCCTAATGTACTTTACGTCCCAAGCCCAGGGAGTCTCTGAAAATGCTGGCCTCTGGGCCTTTGGTCATGCTGCTTCCACCAGCTGGTGTGCCCTCCCCATCTCATCTTTGACAGATGAAATTCTAAGTGTGAGGGAAAGCAGGGGTCACAGAAAAGAGATCAGGGCTGGGAACTGGAAGCCCTGGATTCTGGGTTCAAACCTGTGCTTTACTAATTGTGGGCTCATGAGCAACCTGCTCATTAACTTCTCCAGGTCTCAGTTTTCTCATCCCTAAAATAGGTATAATGATCTCTTTCTAAGTCACAGGGCTGTCATAAGGTTCCGATACTATGATGTATGAGAATACCTTGTATTGTTTAACCCCATATATATACGATTATGATGTGTGTGTATGTAATATACAAGGCTGTACTCCAAAGCCACTTCTCTCATCAAGCTTTCTCTGACCTTCTCAAGACCCCTCAAAACCTTTGAACTTTTACCACATCTTTTACCTTTAACTTTGTATATTTTTATCTGTCAGCAAAGAGACATCCAGAGTGCAGGTTTTGTAGTCAAACAGACCTGGGTTTAGTTTTGTCATTTGTCAGTGGCAGAACCCTGAGTAAGTTACTCAACTTTTCTGGACTTCTGTTTTCCCCATCCATAAAATGGGTACTGCAACAGAACCTAGTTCACAGGGTTGAGGTGAGGAGTAACTAGGACAATGCATTTAAAATATCTACACAGAAAGTGGTCCATAAACAGCAGGCTTGTCTCATTCCCACTTGACTCACTGAGAACCAAGCCCCCTGTTTGTCCCTGCATACCTCCCTCTCTGGCGTTCAGCACGGCCTCTGCAGGGACCAGGTACATAATACTTATTGAACGAACGGGCAGGGTCTGGTGAGACAAGACTCAAGAATATCATTGATACAGTGAGAAAGGTCCGCTGAGCCACAGGCAGAGCCTGTGAACGAGAATCCTGGGACTCTTCGAATTTCAATGATGCGTGAGGATGCAATCGATGACAGCCCAAGGGGGAAGGGGACCCTCAGAGATGGGTCAGACACAGACTCGTCAGACAACTGGCCCCGACTTGTGAATGATTTAGGCCGCCAGCTTCCTCCAGTCAGTGAGGTGTTACTCCAAACCTTTCCTGAGAAATTTTGTTTCGGTCAAGAGCCAGAACTCCACACAGTCAGTAATCTATGAAGTATAAGACAAGGCAGGATCCAATCACCTGTTAGCCCTAAAGCTAGAGAAACTCAGGGAAGGGAACTGGGGATACAGTTGGCCCCAAAGGTGAGGAGGATGTGCAAGGCTGGGAGACACGGGAACAGTGTGCCACTAGGCACTGGGTGGGGTGACGGGGCAGGAGAATGGGCTCACAGAGAGGGGTCTGACTGAGGCAGGGAGTTCTCGGAACAGCTGAGCTGATGCGCCTGGTGAGAGAAGCTGCCCGCAGGCCCGCCCACGCCGGCAGGGGGCGTGTCTGTCCCCGAGGGTCACAGAGACTTACCATGCTGGAGTGGACCGTGGCCTGCTCAATGTACCTCGCGATGCCTGTGACAAACGCATTCCTGTCCTCGAAGTTTGTGTCAAAGTTAGCCTGCAGGAATCAGAGGACAGGAATGTTCGGCGGTTGCAAAGCAGGTCCATGGTGGCTGGATGTCCAGGGAATCAACTGCTGCCAACAAATGCCCGAGTCCCCAGTGGGAGCCCACCTCCACATCACCCTCGCATCCTCCCCAAGAAATCCCACCCTGAGTCCCACTGGGCCGGAGCCAGCTAGACAGGGCCGCACCTGCTTCCCAGCCAGTCAGGTTCACCCAGCGAGCCTTGGAAGCAAGGGTTTAAACCGTACTAACCTAAGCAGCTGTTAAAAGCGGAGATGGGGTTTTTTAGAAAGAAGCAGATTCATGGATGCAGAGAACAAACTAATGGTTACGGGGTGGGGGCGCAATTTAGGGGAGGGGAGTGGGAAGTACAAATTACTGGGTGTCAGTTGGGCTCAAGGACATACTGTACAACACGGGGAATGCAGCCAATGTTTTGTAATAACTTAATGGAAAGTTACCTTTAAAAATTGTATAAAAATGTTATTAAAATTTTGAAGAGGTGCACTGCTTTCATCTGGCAGTTGCAAAAATACTCACCTGAAGGTGCAGATACATCTGTATAAGGATAATAACTGCAGCATTTTTTTTTTTGGTAATACAAAAATTGGAAACCATCCAAATATCCATTAACAGCGAAAGGCTAAATCAGTAACAGTATAGCCATTCAATGGACTTATATGTATAATGCGGTGGTTAAAAAAAATGTGGTTGCATTGAAGTGCTGTCAGGAAAATACCCGTAATTTTAAGTTAAAAAAGTCAAATCATAGAGCAACATAATATAATGTCATTCTCTTTTGGTAAAAAAAATTGTATACATATGTATATATGGGAAAAGGGTGTGTGTGTATATTTGTATATATAAATACAGACATAGTCACAGGGAAACTTTTATTTGCTATACTTTGCTTGTAATAAAAAAGATATTTACACAATTAAAATTTCAATCTGAAAAAAAATTTAATCTGGGTTAGAAAATGTGAATAAACCAAGTTTATGAATTGAACCTTCAGGCATATGCTTAGTAAATCTAGCCACTGAATGAAATTAAAAACACATTATGCATTTATATCTAGTCTCATTTAGCAGTCCAAGAATGTTCCAAAGGTCAAATACAGCTAAAAATTTCAAATTAACTTATTCTTTATAAATGGAGTGTACTCGCTCAGCACACCCCGACAAGGGGCATTTCCAAGGCCGCCTCCAGCTGCACAGACGTCCTTCCCGCAACACCCGGGTCAGATGAGGGTTTTGAGCAATCTGATCACGGTTTATCACAAGCTTGCCTCTCTACAGCAAAAGCAAACAACTGTGACCGGCTTCCCTGAGCCATTATCAGCTGCGGGGAGCTGAAGATCTCTTCTCACATACATGAAGGAAAAGTAATTACCCAGGCAGGCTCTAGGGGTTTCTAAATTGCGATATTTAATTCATGAGGTCAGAGCTGCCAAAACCTTGGTTGGTGCCACAGCGAGAACAGCCGGGAAGGTATCTGGGGTCAGAACAGATCAACAAGCCTTCCCCAGGGACGAGAAACAGCCCTGGTATAACGTTTACCAGCTAATCTATTTCTTGCACTCAGCTCCACCAGTGCGCAAGGGGCTCCATCAGCTCATGGCCTTTCGCCTTCAGGATGCAGATATTCCTTTTCCCTCTGCTTCAGGGCAAACCCCTTCAAGGGATCCCCAGAGTTCCTGACCCCCACCCGCTTGCCGGCCCTGGTGCTGTGGGAGGACTTACCTGGTACATGATGGAGGAAGGGGGCGGCTCGATGCATGGCTGCTGGTCAGGGAGGGGCAGCTCTTCCAGCAGGTCCACGTTGGACAGGGCATCTTCCAGGGTGACGTGGGTGGTCATGGCTGCAGTTTCTGTTGTCCACACTGAGGGGAAGGAAGAGAAGGAAACGGAGCGTTTCAGGGGCCTCCACTCATTTCTCCCAGTCTCACCCTGTCCAGGCTTCTTCCGGAGAACCCAGGGAATTAACATGCATTGAGAACACTCCCACTTGCTACTCCTTCACATGGTGCCCTCAACCTACACCTGATGTCTGACGATCTCTTTACAGTTTACAAGGTACTTTTTTATATCTATTGTCTCGACCGAGCCTCATCACAACCCTCTGATGGCAGGTGGTACCATATCCACATAACTGATGGAAAAACAAGGCTCAGAGAAGTTATAGGATGTCCATGCAACCACAGTGACCAGGAGCAAAGAACCTCAAATAATGCCGGATGCTAGGACATGGGCCATAGTCTGCCTTTAGCTGCTATTCACGAGGACACTTATCAGTTCCACTTTCAAATTACTGCACAGCACAAATATCTGTGATCGAGAGAGCCAAAGATTATTAACCTGAAACCAGAGCTTGAAATTAAGCTGGAAGTAAGAGAATTCAGACTCCAGCAAACTTAACCTTACTTGCAAAAACGTCAGGGCCATTGTCTTCCTTGATCTGGAAGTATGGTATGTTTTGTGAGCCACAACAAACAAATCAGCCCTAATTGGACGGTTCTGTGTTTCAGATGCTGGCAGAGTGCAGAGGCTTCAAAGAGAACTTTGCCAGGCAATGAGGATGAAGAGGTTCTAAACAGCAGTTACCTAACTCGAGCTAATCACTGTTTTAAGAACTCAGCACCCAGCAAACAGAATACTCATTTTTTTTAAAGCATATGTGAAACATTACTTTAAAAGTGATCATGATTCAGGGTTCTCACAGTTCCCCCAAATAGGACCTCCTAGAAATCACATTCACTAAGTATGGTGCATTAAAATTAGAAATCAATCATCTAAATTACAGCAAAGGAGAAACCCCATACCTATGAAAATTTGTAAAAACATGCTTCCATGTTATTCACAAAGAGAAATTCAAATAGAAATTATAAAATATTTAGAGCTGAAACATAGAGAGCATGAATAAATATTTTAATGCATTTAGCAGAAAATAAGAAAGCAGAATTAAATAAACTGAATTTCCCCCCAAAAAAATCTAAAAAAGGATAAAAATCAACCCAAAGAAATGAGTGTGCAGGGATGGCTAATTACAAAAGCAGAAATAAAGGCAGCAAAAAAATCAAGCAAAACAAGACATACGTCAAAAACCTGAGTTTTATAAAAAGATAAATAATAGTAATAACAAGCTAACCTTGTAGCACTTTTGAATAAGGGAACACAGAGATGGTTGCCTGTGCTCCTGAGAGCGTCCCTCACTGCCCCCCCCCCGCCCCCACACCACACCCCAGCCCCAGGGACGTGTGAGGCCCGCTTCAGGGCTGGAGTTGCAGAGTGCCAGAGAATCTGCCTGGCTCATTAGGGAACGTGTCAGAGACCAGGGCAGAAAAGGACCAGCGGCAGGAGACTGGGCCCAGGCTGGGGAGGGCAGGCACAGCTCCCGGGCGCACCCCACGCAGGCAGCCCCAGTGTCTCCTTTAGGCCCTGCTGGGAGGGCAGAAGAGGCTGAGCTTCTGATGACCACTTCACACTTCACTGAGTTCTCAGCACACCTCCCCATCACGCGCTCAGGCAACAGTGAAGCCATGTCCAATGAGGGCACGGGGACCTCAGAGGTAACTTCCTCCTCTGCCCCTGCACGCCCTCACCGAGACAGTTTCGGGCCCTCTCCACACCTAGGCTTCTTCCTCTGCTCTCTTCTCTGCCCTGAATGCGAAGTGTGGCATTCAGCTCTACCGCAAAACCATCTGCCAGTCCACAGAGAAGACTGTCTTCTTTCTCACATTAATATTAAGTTTATTTTGCAGGAGGGGTTAGTGATCTTACAGGGCATACTGATCTACAAGCTCCAAAGCCCAAATGATCATCTTCATTAACTCAAATAATAATAAAGCTAACATTTTTTAGCCCTTACTCCACTATCTGAATCTTGTATCAACCCTACAAAGGTAGGTACTATGATTATTCCCATGTTACAGATGAGCAAACAGAAGCTCAGGATTTAGGTAATTTTACAAGGTCAAGTGCTGGCAAGTGGTGAAGCTAGGCTTGGAACCTAGGTTTGTCCTAAAAGAAAGGCCTACAAGCAACTATCTATCCATCTATGTCCAAGGGACCCAGGAGCCAACTTGAGGCAGCTTCCACTGGCCAAAGATGGGGCAATCCGAGCAACAATTAGTGCAACTCAAAGGACTTGAAACAAGATCACATATATTTAAATCCATGAGACCATAAAGACACTTAATAAAAACTTGGTTTCTATGCCTCTGTTACTGCTGGAGGATGCCTGTGAACCAACTTTTTATGCTGAAAATAATAAATAAAAGGAAAGAAGCAAATGTTTAATCTGTCTTCCCTATACAATCTGGACCACTGGAAAACTGAACTGTGGAAGAGAGGGATGTTTTTCTTTATAACAGTATTTTTCTCGCCCCCAGAATTAACGTAGCCCTATTTTCCAACCCCTAATGAACGTATGGATGTAGGCACTGATCACTGACTGCTGCTAACATCACTACAGGAGGACAATCTGACGTCACGTTCCTCCTGGTGGAAAAACACATCATCAACTTACGAAGAGTGCTGGACCCAACACAAAACACTTGAATCTAATCAAGCCTTTGATACCAACTGAGGGGAAATACAGAGGACAGACAGAACACAGTACAATACACCACAGCGAGGTAATCAGTAAACTACAACCTATGCGAAAGTCTGCTGGACAAGTGACTCAGTGTCTTTAACAAAGAAAGCGCAAGGTGGGGAAAAAGAGACGGAGGGGGAGCTATACATAAGAGACTTAGACCATCACATGTGTGTTTAGCTGGTTTGACTCTTAAGTCAAACAAATCACCACAAAAATTAAATTGCGACATTTATGAGAAACTAGGAACATTTCTCTGGCTAGTTACCAACATTGAGGAAACAGTTATTATTTTTAGATGTGACAATAATATTGAGGTTATGTTTTAAAAGAGTGCTTATCTTCTAGAAATACCTACTAAAAGATGGATCAAAGGCTACAGGGGTTTGCTTGCAAATAATACCAGAACAGGGAAGAGTGAGAAATTGGTGAAGCAAAATTAGCTCTGAATTAATGATTGTTAACGCTGTGTGATGCTCACACACAGGGATTTATGATATTTTTTTCTATCCAGTTTTAAATATGTTGGAAATTTTCTGTAAAAACCCCCAGCTCAGTGTAAAACACTCCTGGCTCTAATCGAACATCCCTTCCTTCATCTTTCCTTACTCCTACTTGCCATGATCTTTGCCCTCTCCTTTCTCCTGTAACCTGGGTTTCCTCTGGGCTTCACAGACTCCAAAATACTCATTTACCAGAATAACCCTTAAGATTTTCACCTTTAACATAATAATACCCACCCCCTGCACTTCACTTGAAGAGAATCAATACACAAACAGCCTACAGAGCCAGTAAATTAGGAGTCTTCATTTCCGTCATAAATACAGCTTCTCTAATGGATTTCTCTGTTTGTTTGTAGATCATTCATTGCCCACGGGAGAAGGAAATCAGACATTTTTAATCCAAGTGTTGGAAGTCACTGCCAACACCACATCAAATCAGAAAGAAAAAATATTCCGGAAATTAACAGAGGTATACATGAAAGCAAGTATTTCTCTCCCAGCCCAAGTGTTACATAATCTTCCAGAGAAGAATTCTTTATATTCAGTCTATCAACATGTGGCTAAATTGTGTTACTCTGGAAGAGAAGTTAATAAAATAGTTTAAAATTAACTGTGTTCTGGAAGCATTTGAGTATGGAGCATTCACGGCAAATTAGAATTCTTCTTCATAACAAACTTAAACTCAGTGGCCTGGTTTCACTGAGAGGTAATAACGCTGGGCTCCCAGGCAGCTGGCTTATGAGAAGGGCTGTAGGACTCCCGGGGTGGGGCTGAGATGGTTGCTAGACTCTGAGCAGGAAGGGGTGGGGGCCCACAAATGCAGGATGGGTGCAAGGAGAGCCTGGGAATGCAGGTTCTGACTCCCACATCCTAAACCCTGCTACTCTCTGAGCAAAAGATTTGTATTGTCATTTTCTGTCTCACTTTCAGAAGGAGAATGAAAAAAAAGCAAGAATTTTTACATAAGTGAAAAATCAGGCTAAGTATGGTGTGTAAGCTTGAGCTATGGGTTCAAATCTGTCATCTGCCACTTCCTGGCTATATAACCATGGGCATGCTACTTAACCTTTCTAAGATTCTGTTTCCTTAGCTGTAGAAGGGTGGTAAATAATAATAGTCCCTGCCCGCAGTGATTTATTCTGAGGATTATATAACATTACGGCACATGGCACGTTTAGCCCAAGAACAGAACAAGCACTTGGGAAATGTTAGCTAGTTGAATGGCCTCTTTTTAAGAGAGCAAATGGATGAATTAAACATTGCAACAATTCTCCTACAAAAAAAAGGAACACATTATAATTATATTCCCAAGAGAAGTGAAAATACATATCCACACAAAAACTTGTACATGAATGTTCATCATAGCATTATTTACAATAGGCAAAAAGTGGAAACAACTCAAATGTCCAACCACTGATGAGTGGATGGCTAAAATATGTTATATCCATACCATGGAATATTATTCAGCCACAAAAAAGGAATGGATTATGGATACATGCTACAATGTAAATGAACTTTGAAAATACTATGCTAAGTGAAAGAAGCATAATATGGTTTTTTAAGGAAATGTCCAGAATAGGCAGACCTATACAGATACACAAGAGATTAGTCATTGCCTAGACTTGGGGTAAAGATTAGGGGAAATAGATGGTGCGAGGTCTCTTTCTGAGTTGATAAAAACCTTATAAAATTAATCATGGTGATGGCTGTATAGCTCTGTGAATATATACTGCAAATCATTGAACTACTGGCTTTAAGTGGGTGAACTGTAGACTATTTGAACTCTATCTCAATAAAGCTGTTGCCAAAAACTGTCCGTATTTGTAGGACTACTTTGGGGGAACTTAAGGTGTTTATAACAGGAGCAGGAATGGTGTTTGGAGGGCTGGAGCAGGAGCCCGGAGAGCCCGGGGAGGAGGATGCTGCCTCTATGCTCAGAGACTGTGCTGAATGGAAATGCACACAGTAGGAAAAATAGAGCAGTGGACACAGTCACCCCACCCCGGGGAGCAGCCCCTAGACCACAGGGTGAGCGGACCACCGTGAGGCAGCGCCCGAACCAGGCCCCTCCCCTGCCCGTTTCTGTGGCACTGCCACCTGTCAGGGCCTGGGGCTGCCCCACCCAGGAAGGGAGACTCCTCAGACATAAAAATCTCCTAGGTGAGGTGATGGGCTTTGAGGTTTAGAATGAGGACAAGATTGGTCTCCTGCCTGCCACCTGAGCTCTTTCTACTATGAGGACAGTGAGGTCGAGAGATGAGAGGACTTGTGTAAGGTCACTTGGCTAGTTAGGGGCAGAGCTGGGCTAACACTGCAACTTCCTGGGACAACAAGGGGACCCGATACAATAGCTGATATGACAGCGCTGTAAAAGAAAAAGAGGAATATTAGACAGAAGGAAAGAAGCAGGGAGGGAGGGAGAGAGGAAGGAAGGAGGGAGGGAGGGAGGGAAGGAAGGAAGGAAGGAAGGAAGGAAGGAAGGAAGGAAGGAAGGATTCCAATTCTGCAATAAGACAAAAATCCATGTACGAAAGGAAATACAATCCAAGGACATTAGCTGGCTCTCTGGTGGTCATCATTTATACATCTTAATAATGCAGATGCTTTAAACATGATTTAGGTTAAAACAGAGCTCTTACTATATTGAGAGATGAGGGCAATTAGGGCAGGGAGGGGCTGGTGTCAAAAGCGAAATCGTCATCCATCGCAGCAGGAAGTGAAGAGACAACTCGTAGAACAGATAAATTAGGAAACAGCAGCACAGGCACATCATTCAGAGATTTGGAGACAGCTACTGGAGGAAAGTGCGAGTTGAAAGCAGCAGCCCCTGGGGGAGGTGGGCCCTGGGTGCTTGTTTTTCACTAGGAGTCTTTCAGTATTATTTGATTTCTTTTAAGCATGTGCGTGCATGGCTTTGAACCAAAATTTCAAATTTACTTGGAAAGATAACAACCCAAGGCTTCCTTGCTGGCAGCCAGATATCTGACCAGCCCACAGAACTGTCTCAGGCCGGCTTGGCTATGTAAGTCCCTCCCTGCGGGTCTCCTGGGACCAGAGGCCCAGGCACCTGCCGCTTCTCTCCACACAGGGGACCTGAGGTCACAGCAGAAAAGTCCAAGTCAGCCTCCACCTGGTCTCTGGAGAAGGCCTGCCCTCCTCCTTGTTTATGCAAAGAAGATCCCGGCAGGGCGAAAGGGCTTGCTGCCGCATCGGCCCTTTTACTCAGCTGCTTCCTGTGTTGCAGGGTTGAGGGGACCTTTCCGTTGACAGCCCAACCAGGCGGATCCTATCCTCTCAGGAGGGGAGGTCATGCCACCAAAGGCAGCTTGCTGATTAGCTGCCGCTGGGGCCTGTGACGGGGCACCCCAGGCCAGGCACCAACGTGACCTGCATCTGGGGAGAGAAGCTGCCTCTCAGAGGCACCTGCTAAAACTCAGAAAGGGAAGCCAGCACATCTGCTGTGGAAACAAAGAGCAAGACCTGAGTTGGGCCCCCAGCTCGGAGCACGCAAAACTCAGCTTCATGGATGTGAAGGTACAACTCGAATGTGGCTCAGTCTGAAGACTGACAGAGGCCCCCAAGCCACGCTCTCAGTCACTCTAGAAGGGCAGTTCCCCTGTCTGTAAAATATGAAAGTTGACCTGGTAGTAATTTTCAACCATGACGGCAACACCTCTGTTGTGAAGGGAACTTGTCCTAACAACCGATTAGTGAGGTTTGCAAATGAGGTGCTGTTTATGATGCGTGAGGGAGAGTTCAGAGTCCTTCCAGAGTATCAAGAGAATGTCCATCTCTTTTCTTGAGTGGGAGAAGATGGGGTAAAGTCGGGGAGGGGATTGGCTGCCGGAGGTGATGTGTTGAGTGTGTTGAGAGTGTTGAGATTGCCCATCAAATGTACTTACAAAAAACAAAAAAGCAAAACCAAAAGCAACAAGTTAGGAATCACTGAACTTGAGCCTCCCTCAGGGTCCTTCCAACTCAAAAAGCAAATGACTGTAACCATAGGTGGGACTCTCCACTGTGGCCAGGGAGCCCAAGGTGCCTTAAACCGGCCGATGCACATTCTTGCCTTGTGACTTTTCACAAACTCTCTCCACTCTCTCGTGGACAGTCCTCTCTCTTGCCTTCTTATATCCTACCCTTGACCACTGTCAAGTCCCAATTCAAGACAGGCCTCCTCCACGAAGGTCTGACCAACTGAACTCCACCACCACCTTCATTTCTTGGATTCCTATAGCACTCACAGTCTGGAGTCCATAATTTCCCACTTCATTATAAACTGCTTTATATTTTACTAATTCTTTGGATCACCAAAAATGGCAAGGATAGTCGTCTTTAGGGGGGAGGGGATTTGACCCGCAACCAGCACAGAACCGGCCACATCTTAGGCATTACTTGCTTAACTGACACTCCATGAGTGGTTTGTTGAATGCACAGGCTAGTGGCCAAAATTCAAGTCTTTTGGTTAAAAAAAAAAAACCAAACACAAAATTTAAAACATCACGGTCCCTTAAGGCACCATATCTAAGTCATCCTTATTACTACACAAATCAGAGATTATCTTTAGAAAATTCTTCTGCCATACAGTTTCCACCTCAAACCATAAAAAGCAGAACCTCACTTCTCTTTCCCACATGAAGGAAGAGCACACTCAGGAGGCTGACAGCTCACACCTAGTTTTGAATCTCGTCTCTCCACTCATCCCTTGCCACAATCGGTCTTAAGGCATCAGATTTCAAAAGCACAAACAGAAAGTCATTCTCAGGTATTCTTTCACTTAACACTGAATTAGTGAGTGTCTTCCACGAGGGTCAGGCCAGCAGATTCTCTCTGATCTCAGCTGGGCCTTTAGTCAAGTTAGACAATCCTCTCATTCATGCCCAGCTGATTTCTTATTCCACCCACAGAGGCAGCTGTTCCAAACCTTCAGACGTCTCGTGCACTTTCTGAACCAGCCCACCACCTTTAGTTTCTGCAGAGGACCTCATCTCCTGCCTTTTTTAGGAGACAGAGACCACACACCACGGATGGACTAAACATCCCTCCGTTCCATGAAGAGATGCCCGCCTGAGAATCGCTGCTCTCAGACGGCCCACGGATGATGCAGACACAAACCCAGAAGGCCTATTGATGAAGTCATCCCTAGGTCTTTCTCGGGCAGCTCTCCCGAGGGGCATGCTGACTTTCCTCTCTCCTTGCACCATTTCTGAGCTGCCCCAAGTCTATCAAAACGCCACTCAGCCAGAATGACATCTGCAAGAAATTCTGCGTGAACCCAAGCTCCGCCTTCTCAAAACAATTTCTTTCAAGAACCTGCACCCAATTTGTTTTCACCTTCGTTACCAGGGTCCAAGAAGTATGGCCTGAGTGGTAGCCCTCAATGGCACATCACACACATGAGCGGCCGTGGTGAGGGAGCCAGGATCAAAACTCTTTGCATCCTGGGAGGCATTCCACACCCACTGACCGAATTCTGAAGGGTCTTTGTACAGACAAGGGCAGCCACGGGCCTTGACAGAATCTATGAATCACAAAGTGCCTTTCAGTCTCCTTTCAGCTGGCTCCGTGGTACAGAGAGGCCACAGATTCGTCTTCTTAAATTGACACATGATATATAATGAATAAACTGTTCCTTTAGGAATGGAGGGCAGCCATCCAAAGGAGCCACACGTTCGGGAACTTCCTTCTCTTGTCCGTTTCCAGGGCCTTTTCTTCTCAGACGGGGTTACAGACATTATCTCACCCGCGGGCTCCTGTGTTACCTATAGGTAACAAGCGGGGCAGGTTGCTTTCAGTTCCCCGGTTCTCAAAGCCAGGGAGGTAGTGGCTGATGGCAAGGCACACAGCAAGTCAGGGATAAATCTTGCGTCCGAAGATCACTGTGCTGTTCTGTCTGCCCGGGCAGCAAAGCATGCCCTCAACATTTTTGAGTTGGATTGCAAAATGCTCCATGTATGTACACAGAGGAAGAGGTCCTTCCTGATCTGTGTGTGTTGAAATGTGAGAACTACCTCTGGGCTTCTGCTCAGCATACATACTCCCTCCCCTTCTCTGCCTACTCAAGTTATACCCGGCTTCCCTGTGCTCCTCCAGAGCACGTCCTCATTGACATCACGTCTTATCAAAGGCATCCTTTCTTCTGGTTACCTTTTACAGGTCAACCTGGGAAAAGCAAAATTCAAGAAGGCTCTGGAGGTAGAAGGACTGGTAAGAATTCTGGGTCGACTGCATGCATGAGCCACACTGTTAATGATTATGTAATTAAATTACACTATAACAACTGTAACAACATATATATAAATATAATAGTACGTATTATGTGCTAGACACTCTATGCAGCCCTTTGATGCATCCCTTGTTTCTTAAGAGCATCCAATGAAGGACCAGCTCCTTCCCCGCCACTGCGGGCCTGCCAGGTCACTGCCCAGAGGCATGCTCCACCTCCTTGCCCCACCTCCACTAATAACACAGGGTCCATCCTTAGATTTGGGCTTGTGCCTCAGAATAATAAGAGCAAAGGCCTTTTACAAAGGCTCCTATGAGGTGACTGATGTCTGGTTTCGTCAACTACAAGTGAATAATTAATACTTGCCAGGAAAGAAATAGACTCATTGTTATGGTGGCCACATGGAGGCTACCTACAAAAGGCGATTTTGTGCAGCTCTTGGTAGAACCCTGGGGCCAACAGCGGCCAAAAGAAACCTCTTTGAGAGGGTAGTCTGATCCTCAAACGTGGAGGCTGGAGCTCGGCACTGTTTTCCAGGAGTGCTGTTCCCAATGTTAATTAGCTTGTTGCCTATTCATCACCTAATTCGGCTTGCTGGTCAGTGACAGCAGTGGAGGCCCACCGAATGCCAGAGAGGGCACGATATATCAGGGGAGAAAGGAATTGTTCCTCCAGGACCCTTTTCCAGTTTTTAAATTCTTGTCTACCTCCTTCTCTGGCCCAGCCTTTGATTTGATTAGAGTTGAGTTAAACCTCTCCAGCCCTGCTGGATTTTATACCCCACTCTTGGGTCTTATGCCTAAAACAAGTTTTTTCTTTTCCATTTCCAGCAGGGACTGAACCAGGCAGGCTTGGGTGCCTATAGAACCAGTTAGAACCGGCCAGGAAATATAATAAAGAAGCTTAGTGAGCAGAGTGCTAATGCCCCCAGCCAGAGGCTCAGCCTGCAGGCCTCACCAGAGGAACTGGCTTTGTGAGAAACAACACACTCTTCTTGTGGCCTAGTAGCTGCCCTGGCAGACGGCAGCCAGAGCCAACAAGCACTTCTCTATAGGAAAGTTTCACCTCCTCCAAGTGGACACTGGGTGCTCAACAATGCCTTCTAGTGACTGTAACCCCTGACCAGTTACACACACACACACACACACACACACACACACACACACATGCACGTGCACACACACACACTCCTATGGTATTTTTACCCTTAGGGCTAAAGCTACCCTCTCAGTAAGCAAACAGAGATGACAGCTGCTAGATGTAGTCATTTCAGCGAGCTGTTCCCCAAAATTGCTACCCAGCTGCCCACTCCCACTTTCAGCCCAATGCCTGAAATCACATCATTAGAGATGCCAAATATTTTTTGATTTAAAGCTTTGTTTCCAAAAGTTCATCAAAATGCCTCTGTTTCTTTTCTGGTCAAATGACTCCTCAGGCACCTGCTCTGCATCTAATGGGAAATTCTTTTGTATTTAGCTCTTGAGAATAAATGTGTTCACTGGTTCCTTTCTTGAAAACTATTTTGACACAGGAGAATGGTGGGTGGTGGTGGAGCACAGGGCACTGTATGGAAGTGGAGGTGGGAGGTCTCAGGGCCACAGAGGTCTAATGGTGGAGAAAACAACCTTCAAGGCCTTCACAATCCTGCCCAGGGATATGGACCCAGATTTTTGCCCTGCAACATCTGTGATCTCCATGGTGGCCAGCATGGCTTGCAACAAGGGCTGTGCCTAAAAGTAAGGTAAAACACCCTCTGCCCTCAAGGAGACAGAGGCAGGAGACAGAAAAGGGGAATGTGGAAATCAGCACTCTCCTGATTTGCCCCTCATGCCCGCAGGACTCCCTGACCATGCCATGAAGGCACAAGCTGGCAGGAAAAGATCCTTGTCCCCTTCCTGGCCTGGTTGTAAGGGGAGCTGATGGTCCATCAGCCTTTGGTGAGTCTTTCTGCTGTGCTGGGGAAACTAGGCGAGTAGAGGTCTAAGTCAGATTCCCTGGGCTAGTGAGGGCACCTGAGCCGCCCTAGTGTCCTTTTCTGCGAGGTTCTTCACACAGAGAACCATACTCCTGTCGGACCATGCTTCCCGCCCTAGCCCCACTGCCACACAGAGAGCACGCCCTTCTCTTCCTTTTCATATGGTGAAAAGGCGGGGGCGGGGGAGGGCGATGTCCTGCAAAGCAGAACCACCACATACAGGTAGACATCTTCCCGATTCTTCAGCGGCCATGAAGACCCAACCTTTTCTCCAGGAGTCAGCCCACTCATCCCCTTCCCACCCCCTTCCCCCCTCCCTCCCCGCCCTCAGACAGCCGGGAGAGAGAGCGATGCTAGGCCAGAAGGCTTCAAAGCGGGTCAGGCTTGCCTCCTCTCTCAGGCTTGCCCCCACCCCCAAACATCGCCGCTTTGACCCTCGCCCCACCCATCTCACGTTCACCGCAGGCAGCCGTGGGCCGGAGGAGGCTGCCGGAGGGCCCAGGCGGCTCTCGCTGGCCCTACGGGAGGTGATGGTGGCCGCAACGACAGAGGCTCTGCAGTACCTGGGCGCCAGGAGGTCGCCGCGGCCGGGCTCGCGGCCGCTACGGAGCTCGGGAGGAGCGCCGCTTTCTCCCGGGCGGGTCGCTCGCGTCCAGGCCGCGCACCTGCTGCTGCAGCCACCGCCGCGGCGCCCCAGTTCCGTCGTGGGCCGGTGCCTCCCCACAGGGGGGTCCG